CAAATTCTTCTCCCTCCACACCATCTAAAATAGGTATGTAATATCCGGTGTTATTATTTTGGCTTGGGTACAATAATCCATTCGGCAACTTAAAACCCCAAAAGATCCGCAACCCGCCTCTCACTTTCGTCTCCCAGGTACCAACGCCGCCCTGAATAAAGCCAACGTGCCATACGAAAATCGATAGCACTGTTCGGGCACCGCTTGCTTGAGTTGGATCATTCGCGTGGGCATAGGGAATTGGACAAAAACATGTCGAAGAAGCAGTCAACCGATCTGAAGGAACGACGGTTCTATACTTCGGGAGGCGACTGTTTAGCCCTGACTTCATGTCAGCAGCATGCTCCCCAGAGTAGTTACATTTTAGACACAACTTACGCGGCATATAGCCCCACTGTGGACAACCGGAGTGTTGCGTATACACCGGATCCGTGTAACATGCTTCTCTCTGGCACTAAAGCGGGAAAACGGTTAGATGATGGCATAGCTAGGTAGTGAGTGTGGGGGGGCGGTTGCTCCGCTACAGCGCCGCCGCCTAGTAATGCAGCTGCCCAGATGACCATCTTGGCCGCTGTCGATGAGAGTCAGACAAGGTCAACCCCTCGCCGGATATCGTGAGTGTTGGCAACATCCAAAAGAGCGGTGGAAGCGTGCGGCTATCCAAGAATGACCTCATTCCTAGCCTCGTCCTAATTGAGTAAGCCTGCCCTGACACAGAGTTGGATATGCCCGGTAGCCGTTGGACCAACTCTAGGAGAATTGGGTCCCCAATCTTCATCGAACTTCCTCGGGTATAACGGAAGGCCATCTTGCGTCAAGGCATGGTCATCCTTGCATGCATCGACTTCCCCCAACATCGCTTAAAGCAACACTTTCGAAGACATGGACAGCTTACGCTTATCATGATGCCTCTGGTCGGTCATGTTAGTACTCATATTGTCAGTTTGCAGCTCAGAGGTGGAGTCGGAAGAGGACCAGAACCAAATATTAGTGGCCCACTGTGGGCATCATCGCATTACTAGCTGCAGCGCCCGACTCCATTGCACCGCTCCCTCTTCACATCACAAAGTGCGAAGTTCTAATCGCGGGCTGACTAGCCATGCTCCATTAAAATACCGCCGACGTTATTACGGGATTGGGATCCCAGCAAGCCCGGCCCCCAAGCCACACGCGCCCTTCGCTTGGTACTGGGGTGCTGCACTGACTCGCGGAACTACTCCAAAGGATCTTCCAGAAGATGCCTCTGGCATTCGGTGGTTTCACAATAGTGCCGAGACCATGTTGCGGACCCGTCCGCTAGACCTGCCGATCAGCGTGACATTGGTGCGTCGCCCAATGGTCTACTTCTTCCACCTCCATGCGGTGTACCGTATGTACTACTACTCGAGACGCAATAGCAATTATTTCAACTGACCGGAAATGGTTCTTGCCGCATACACCAGAAGAATAGTTGATGGCATCTGATAGGCACGGGGTTGGCTACCGATCGTGGAATAGAAGCTTGCAAGGCGGGCCTCATGCACCTTTCCATCACTGACGAACCCCAACGGTTGCTAATCAATCCATTACTACCAATCAGAACAGAAAAGACACCACACTCGAGCTAGCCCTAAGCCATGGTAGCTTACGCCCGACGTCAATTACGCGGTGTGCAGCCCCAATATTCGCAGACACTGCAACAATAACAAGAACCGTGATGAGCAAGCTTCTGGGGGACGCGGAGAAATATCCGAATCACATGAGCGTTACAGTGGGAAGATCGCAGATACTATACCCCAAAATCTGCATGCACGCGCCACTTTAACGCACAAGCACCGCGGGCTTGCTGATCCGCTTGTTCCTTCCTAAGCGTATAAAAGGAAAGAATGAAAGAGAGAAGGCCCGAAATCGGCATGGAACTACCGACAATAGTCCACCAAATACATAGCAGTAGACAACCAGGCACGTGCATCATCTATAAGAGAATCGTAAAGAATTACTACATCTGGACTCATGCCTCGACGACGCCGAGTAGAAGCGGTGGATGGGGAAGTGGGAGCCGGCGAGGTGGAAGATATCCGTAAGCGTATGTTGGTATCTTGACATGGAGCTAACAAGCAAAGCTTGGCTTAAAATAGACACGTGATAGGTGCAGATTGGCGTTTCTCGGTGATTTGTTAGGCACCAATTCTTCGATGATTGCTGTTCCATTTCCATTTACATGAGATGTTGTGCAGATATCATCGTTATCAGATACTTTGCGCAGTCAATGCGCAACTCGCCCTTCAGCCCTGTTTATGGGCACATGTGCAAAGCAAATCGGCACTTCATACCGCTCGAGGACTACATCCCGATATCGCTTTGAGCAGGGTCATCTGAGGAACCCCAACATCACAACCTCGTGTTCTACGTACTCATGCATGCGCGATTGGGGATCGGAAAATACGGATACGGATAGGGGAATGTGGGGACTAATGAGTGATGCAGACGTCTATTCATGTTAAAATACATATACAAATCAAATATATACAACGAAATGTTTCGCTCGAGCGGCGCAGTCAGCCAACCATTCACTCATCTAGCAAGTAAATTTCTTGGGGCCTGGAATGGTGTAGGTTTGAGCTGATCATACGTTAGTAACATTCTCAAAGACATGGGCAAGAGAAGAAGGCTCTTACCTTTGTAAGCATCATAAGTGACACCGGCATCCGAACCCTTGTAAGCACCAGGGAACGAAACGAGGCCAGTGGGTTTGGTGCTGCCACCGCCAGTAACTTTAAGCTGGTGGCAGCCTGGGTAAAATTGAGCACCAGGGTACTGGTATGCAGCGTGCAATGCTAAGATCTCGTGGCGGACGAGGTAGTAACCCGAAGATATGCACTTCGGGATGGTGTAGGTGACAGAGCCGCCAACCTTCTTAAGGGCGTCAGAACCCCAGACGTTTGAGGTACCTTGACGCCCTTCTTCTTGGATCTTGAACCAGACAGCACTGACAGAGCGTTAGTTACAAACATGACATGAGGAGCTTGTGTGACATACGAGGACTCTGGCATGTAGTCTTGGCAGCCGGTATCAGGGCACTTTGCCATATAGGTAATCGTAGGACCCATATGGCTGTCAGGCCAAAGCGTCCAGTAAAGCTTGACGTTGGAGCCAGCAGCAGCTTCAGCGTGGAGAGCAGCAGGCTTCGAGCCATTGATGCCACCAGTAGCATACCCACCGCATTGGATATCAGAGATGCTTACGTCCTGGACAGGTCCGTTGCCCTGGATGGGACGCGAGATACGCTTTACTCCGGTAGTGTAGGGGTCTGTGTATGGCTGGTAGAAAGTATAGTCTATTCCGCTGATTGTGGCATTATCCACATATCCATGGCCAGCAACGGCGGTAGCGAACGCGAAGACGGAGGCAATGTACTTCATTGTTGTGAATGTTTGATTGGGCAGGTAAAAGACTGTTTGACAGATACGATCCTGCGTAATGAGAGTATTGAGTTGGAGAAATGAACGAATATAAGTTAGACAAAATGTAGCTGGATTTGGTGCGATCGGTACTGAGTGACCTGGATGCCGGAATAGATTGCGCGAGGCTGCAGGTCTTATAGTACACAAATACCTACGCGTCCTCGGTCGCAATTACTCCATGATACAGGCATGCTGTGCTGCACGTACAATAGAACAGGCTTGAAACATGCCATGGCTGCCTGGTCCAGAACATGACTATGAAAGGAGGGCGCGTAGATTAAACATGGCGCTAACGGACATGATGTTCTTGGGAACCCCACTGTTTGCGCATTGTGTCAGGTTGGGGATCAATCAGGATGCCGACATCCCCGTGAGGGAAGTATCTGAAGTAAGCGAAATGAGAGCATATGGTAAACACTCCTGGCAGACGTCATTTGGTCGGAGCAGGTGGCCCATGAATATTGGATGAATCGAAAGCGTCGACGAGACGTCATGGTGGTAGCTCGAAACATGGCGCAAGACACTCCTTGCAATCAATACACCACGAACGCGCTTGGTTCTCCCGAGGCCGTTTGTCTTTGCCACCACACGTGATCGCTTTTGCTATCACGGGCAGTTTAATCCTGTATCATCGGAGAAATTAATTTGTAGGTCATATAGAGGGAAGCCGGGTTGCCGCTCATGTTTATAGCACAGAGACCACGAGGTCAAATGCTTGATCATATAACTGCAGAAGATGGTGCGGCGAGGCGCGACTTTAGATTGCGATGCGCTGGACAAGACCTTAGCTCCACAGGCAAGCATAGGCTTCCAAGCGGGAGATGTCTCTCATCGGGAATCAAGAACGGGTACCGTTGTGTCCTTCGTCCGTACCAGCATTACTCAGAAGCCGGAGGATCATGTGGGTATGGCAGAGGTGCCGGGAATCGGATGTTGTCCACCGTTCTCCAAATGAGGGCAGTCGCAACCTCTACCTCTTGCACAAGTCTGGCTCAGCGTTGCATTCGCGCCACCCGCACTTGTATGTCATATTTCCTGCCTTTCCGAAAGCCCACCTTTTACTGCGACAATCCGAGATGCCTACTTTCCGGCAATGTGTACAGGTAAGATGCGGCTGTCACGATAGTTATAGAAGTAGCAAAGCGATCGTGACCGTGACCATGGCTGCACTGACGGATAATGCTCAACAAGTATGGGATACAGTGAGAATATGAAAGTGACTTATCGATGGGGGGAGTGAATTGACCGCGCCACAAGATTAGGCGCCTTTCTTGACTAGCGAGCAATGCCAGAGAAGGGATAAGGGCTAGCCAGAGAGGTGCAATGCGACAGCTATCGTAGGAGCCCCGTATGGGGATTGGATAGGTAGTTCAGCTGGTCCGAAGATGGTGGAGTGAAGGTGGAGTGAAGATGAAGTTGGTCGAATCTTCTCGATGACGCGGTGGACCCAACGCGACATGCCACTTTCACGTTGGAGCCCCGCAATCAAGCCAAACATAGTGCAAGCTCGAATAACAACACAAACATTGACCTCTAGCACATGAACCGCTCTCCAACAAAATGGTGATCAATTACAGCAAATGGGTAAGTTGACTTTGCAACCCCAAGTAGCTACAACAGCATCTAACTTGCCCAAAGGACGCCCTCGAGCTATCAGACGATAGCGACATTGAAGTACACCCAAATGTCGACAAGAAATCTTTCATTCGCGCCAAACAAGCCCAGATCCACCAAGAGCGCGACCAGCGCCGCCACCAGATAAAGACACTCAAGTACGAGCGCATCATCAACGATGGGCTCACAGAGCGCGTCGACCGTCTCCTAACAGCGCTCAAGTCGCACAAGGACAAGCAGGCCGAGGGCAATGGCGCAAACGACGACCAGCTCGTATTCCAGGCGATGATGGAGAGCATGATGGACATGAAGGTCGACAAAGACGGAGGCTCAGACAGACCGCCGCCACCACCAGAGGGTGTGCATGAGCATATCAAGGATAAGCCTACATACCCGCAGATGATGGCGAGTTTAGTGGACGCGGTGAAGAAGGATATTGACGAGCAGAAGAGCGAGGAGCCGCGGTACAACCTATTCATACAAGGACTGGAGAAGGAAAAGGCGCGCATACAAGATCTCCAGCAGCAGTTACTGGCAAAGCTGGCGGAACTAGAGAAGGAAGACAAGAAGCACATCACTAGTGATGACATACACGACGGTTTCAGTTACTCTAATGTCAAGAAAGCAGAAGAAGAGCAGAAAAAGGCAGCAGCTCCGTCATCTAGCAAGAAGGAATCCACCGTCGAATTACTCAACAACCCGCAGAGGCCCGCAGCCACCGGATCAGACACAGGCCAGTCCTCAGGCGCCGATGCCGACGTAGAGGAAGGAAGCGCCACAGGAGCCGCAGCTGACGACAATGACGAAGACATCTCTGCATCCCCACTCGCACAGTCTTTCGCCAAGATAAAAGTTGGGGATTGGTACGCCTGCCTGCAGTTCCTCATGGCACACCCTGAGATCCTATCCGAGAAGGAAACAGACGGCCTCCTTGTAGAAGCATTCAACTCTGAACTGGACGGCAAGCCTAAACACGCTCGGCAATGCGTACACCAGGGCCTGTTACTGCAGTACTGCAGGCAATTGGGCGGCAGACAGGGTGTCGAGCTCTTCTTCAAGCGCATTCAAATGAAGGACCACCAAGCAGGCAAGATGTTCAACGACGACGTTGACTCGACATATCACCGCATCAAGACGCGCGCTGCCGAGATCCTCAAGGAACGCGCTGAGAACCCGCAATCCGAAGGCGCGGGCGTAGAGCAGATCCAACTCCACGCCGTAGACCCCAATACCCAGATCAACATCTCTGTCCCACCCAAAGAGTGTGATGCCACGGACCCCGAGGAGAAGGCGGCAATAGAGCAGGCGAGACAGATCTTTGAGTCGTTCCCACCAGGGCTGCAGAGGGCGCTCGAGAGTGGGAAGCTGGACGAGGTGAACAAGGTGCTGGCTAAGATGAGTGTAGATGAAGCTGAGGAGGTAGTGGAGAAATTGGGTCAAGGAGGCATGTTAAGTCTAGAGGAGGGTGTTATTGATGCGACAACAGAGGAGGGCCAGAGCGTCATGGCGGAAATTGAGAAGAACAGGAAGATGCCGAGTCAGCAGTGAGCTGCATGTCTGTCTCAGATGAAACTAAAATGTAGGACGGGCAACGGCAGAACCGTATGAGATGAAAGCTGCAAATGTAAATTATGCCTAATGGTATCTTGGAACGACCAAGATTCTAATATCGTACAAACGTCTCCTTTTGTCCAACAGGTGTGATGGAAACTCCGAACAAGCCGTGAACATATCCATCTATCGTATGCAACTGATCCCTAGAGTGCATGACATAGGCTAACGATAAAAACCATGTACAACCAGTAAAGCCACCCCTCTTTAGATCAACTCTGCAAAGTTGTCGTCAATACCTGCCATATCCCTATCGCCCGCAAACGCCGCGAAATCGTCATCTGTTGCAGTCCTGCTCATCTTCCTCTTCTTATGTGCGCCATCGTACGCGTGCTGTTGTCCATATACTCCTCCGTCCGCTCCAGGTCGCGCATGCTGTAGGCTCTTGAGGAGGTCTGCGGCTATGTGCTGGTTCGGCTCTCCGATTGCGGTTGCGAATTCTGGTTGCGTGGTATGGTGTGCCGGAGCAGGGGCTGTCTCTGGTACGACAGTATGGGCTGCGGGCTCAGGCATGACATCATTGCCAATATCAGGCACGGGATTGTTTCTGACTGCCGCTGTTTGTTGTGGTGATCCGGTGGGGGTAAAGGATTCCATGGGCGGAGGCGTGAGTTCCTCGACTTCGGGCCGTCCTTGGGCAGGCGCAAATGTCGCAGCAACTGGCGAAGTTGTAGCGACAGGCAAAGGCGCAGTTGAGATCCTATTCTGCTCAGCCGCTGACAAGCCCTTGAGAATGGCTTCTTCTACTGCGCGCTTCCGGCTCTCTATGGCATCTTTGCGCGTCTTTAGATCAGCAGCTTGCGCCTCTTCTTGTTCCAACTTCAACTTGTTCGTCTGCAGGAGTTGTTCGAGGCCAGTGATGAGCGCCTTGCGGGCCTGGATGCTTTGTGCGACGGCGCCTTCAGCCACGGCAAGCTTTTTGCAAAGTGCAGCGAGACCGGCGGCATGCATAGGAGGGGACGGAATGGCGGCATTTGGGTTCGTCAGCTTCTCGTAGTCCTGGTTTGCGGTCGTGATGGCGGGCTTGGCCGCGACATCAGCCTTTTGCAGAGTGGTTGCGAGAGGCGCGACTGGAGTGAGCTCAGGAGGGACAGTTGAAGCTGAAAAGAGCGAACCACCAAGAGCCGGCTTGCGCGTAGACGATTTGGAGCGGTCTACTTCGTCAATCGACTTTTCGACGGCTTGCTGCACGGCTTGGTTGAAGATTTGTCGCGAGCGCCAGACTTCGACGACCCTTCGAATCTTGTTCTGTATCTCGTGGGGAGAGCCTTTGTAGGCTACCGTGGTCGCCTCGGCGAGGATGGGTTCGTAGGCTCGCAGAAACTCGTCCTTCTTGCGCATCTTGGAGGTTTGGCAGATTTCATTGGCGAGGTAGATCAGGACAAGCTTCTTGTTCGGCGTCGATTCTTTCATGCGCTGAAGCCATACGTGGGCGATGCGCTCGGCATGTCGTCTATACGCGTAGAAAGTTAGTGTGCAATCACAAAGCGCGCGAAATGCAGTTTGCGTCGGTCAAGCAACATGCTGTACAAGCAGGCGCAATCTTCACAACTGGGCCTAGACAAAGGATGGGGAGTATTACCTGTGAAAGAGGATCCACTGGCCTACAGTGGAGATGGCCTCTTGCGTCTCATTGAGTGACGAGAGCTTCGCCTTGAGGCTGTCCTCTGTAAAAGCCATTCTCACGTTCTTCACGAATAATTGTGATAGCTAATGCAGATGGTTGTCGCACGCGACCAGTATGAACATTCAACGTGCAGCAGTAATTCTAGCAGAACAAGGTGAGATTCGCGTTTCCAGGGTGCACCTGACTAGACCAGCGCTTGCAAATATAGTGGAGAGATGACTTGGATTGCTGAAGTGAAGGGAAGAAAGAGAAAGAGAGTCGGAGGTGGGTTCCAAGATTAGGTCCATAGAGAGAGCTCAGCCGGGGACGCTAAGAGCCGTACGCTAAACGTGGCTCGGCGCGCGCCAAGACAGCTCCTGGCCGTCACACATGTTGACTATGCTCGACGCAACAAGACACTTATAAAGCAAACCATTGTCGCTGCTATTAATCTCTGCCCCCCCCCAACTTCATCTCACATACACACCAAGATACACAATGGCCGACCGATTCCCGTCATTAGACGAAATTGACGCTGGTAAGCGCAACAGCTGCATGCCCGAAGCATCTCCGCATGCAATACTAAACATAGCCAGGTCAAACCGAGGCGCGCGGTGATGCAGCCGGCTTCGAACTTGTAGGCGACTCAAACGATGCCGACGATTTCCTCTCACGTGAGCGCGCTCTTCTCGGCGACGATGCGGACCAGTTTGCTTCAGAAAACGACAGGGTGGCTACTGTCGAGGACGGTGACGACGACCTGTTGGGTGGAGACTTCAGCCAGGCCAACATTGGCAGCCAGGAGATGAGCGGCTTTGAGAGCTCCTTCCCTGCCATTGACACGACCAATGATGTAAGCACTGCACTGCTTTCTTGATCGTTACACGTGTTGTGAAATGAGGCTTGCGCTGGGAATCACTGTATATGCAATCCGGAGGCGCACGAATTGCGATTGCGAGCTTTGCATCATGAAGGAAATGAATATCCGCAGCGTACTGACTTGAACAGCACATGGCTCCAGGTGGCACCATCACAGGATCAAGTCTGCCTTTCCTTCCCGGCCAACCCGCACCTTCATTCACCCCCCAGCGATCAGACTCACCAGAGCCTGACGTTATCCGGGAATGGCGCGAACGCCGTGACCTCCAGATTCAACACCGCGATCAAGTTTCGGCCGAGCGCAAGCAGAGGACCATCCAAGAGGCACAGCAGAACATTGACGACTTCTACGAGAACTACAACAACAAGAAGGACAAGGAGATTGCAAAGACACGGCAAGAGGCTGAGGAGTTCCTCGCAAACCGGGACGACACTACTGCTGGCGGTACGAGCTGGGAGCGCATCGCAAAGCTCGTTGATCTGAGTGGAAAGGGCACCAAGGGCGGAGCCTCAGGCAGCGAGAAGGCGAGGTTCAGGGAGCTCCTGCTCAGTCTGAAGAAGGACGAAAAGGCACCCGGTGCAACTGGCTACTAGGGTGGCTACACATGACGGGCACTTCATGATCTGTACGGGGCTCAGGGGATGATTTTGGCATATTCCAACGTCGCTGGCCGTGGCTCGGAGTTCATGGATAGGTTGCACGTTACTTCATGCAGCTTTGTTAATACAAGGATGGCGTTTATACCACTCGATTTACATTGGGCCCTCATGCCTCTTTTGTATTAGGGCGCCTTGAGAAGGTTGTCAATGTTCATGTAGACTCTGACTTTACCAACGGAGTTGCGGAGGCTGTTGAGAGCATGCCTTGATGGTGCATTTTCACAGCTTGCGTAGTGGTTATGCAGCACAACATCACGAATGCTACCAATGTCTTCCAGAAGATATTAGTTATGCTTCACAGGTACTACTCCACGATATGAACATCTGTGACCAATAGCCCAGTGAATTATTGCCTGTATCATACACCGAGTAATCTACCCAGAAAGGAAAATACACGACCATCAACCTTCCACTTCAATTTCGTCCTCCCTAACAGGCAACAGCGATAATGATTGTAATGCTGCAACGGACAGATCCCTGTCAACCTCCAGAATCTCCCCTGCTATAGTTATGAGATCTTGACGTTCAAGCGGACTCTCATCACCAGCCCAGACTCTGACAGCTGCTTGTATCAGGAGACTCTTGGTACGGTCGACAGGGTGGCTTGGGTCAAGTATCCCTACTTTTTTCTTCTTTTCCTCTTCCTCTTCCTCTTCCACGTCCGGAGAAGAAGATATCTGGACAGGGTTACGAACTGATGATGGGCTGCCCGCGGCTCCTTCTGCTTTCTCATCGACAGCTGATGGTGGACATGCTTCGTACAACGCTGGAAAGTAATCGTCCGCATAGTAGTATATCTCCTTGTCCATCCACCTGTAGAACACAGGGGCAACGAATTCGCCAGTTTCCCCAATATGACGATGCATTAGCGTAAAATCGTCCACAACGTCTTCTAGGTTCCTAAAAGCATATGCTTCTAAGCTTCCTGCCTGGTACTTGTCCGCTATGGCAAAGACGCGCATATGCTGGGAAAACTGTTTCTCACTGCGGCTCGGAATGCCTCTTCCTTCTGTTGTTTCTTATATTGTTGTGTGTAGGCATGCTCAAATAGTACTCCAAGGCTGTCGGGGCTGTCGCTGGAGAGCACAATAGTTTGTTCTCTATATTCCTTCCAGTCCTGAGACGCGTTCATAAACCGTTTGCTTGCGGAACAGAGGATGAGTTGGTGGCCCCTGAATTCCATCTCACCATAAGTGCCGTAACGGATGACGAGGTTAGAGGGGTGTGGGTTCCTGTACCACATGGCGTTTGAGAAGGGTTGTAGTCTAGTCCTGATAACGGCATCATTTGGACCGGTGCGTTCTTCACCTGGCATGGCCATAGGTATGTTGAGTTATACAGTCTGGTGAATCGTTGAGATGTGGTGGTCGATGATATATTCGACAGCCGACCTAGAAATGCTTGCTTTTGTTGTGAGATTTTTATTGAAATTCCCAAGATAAACAGACTCAAAAGAAAACCAAAGGTCCGCCGTATACGAAATATGTAAAATTCCCATGGTTAAAGTGAACATTACTCTACCAGATGTCAATACTGCAACCTATCATAGGCTCAATAGCGAGCATTGCATTTACATAGGAGGACACTTGCGTGGCACTGATCTCGCGTAGCATCCCGTACCATAGTATTAGATCTTCCGACCTTGCTCTGATAGGACCAGATGTCTTAAACTGATGAGATGCTCAAACGTTGCGATATTGTTAAGGAGGCGTACACTTCGCCATAGATATACGGAATCATGTGGTAGTGATTTGATTCAGTGTAGATGTTTCGCAATTCCGAAGGTGTAGGTACAGGCTTTCCGTAACATAAATTGAGATGTTCTTTAGTAGCAAAGAGGCTGTGATGTAATGACGTAGTCTTCGCCGAAGATCGCATTTATCGGTAGTATCTTGGGTTTGTACGTACGTAACATGTCGATTTCCCCATGGTCCCCAGTGCTGAAAGGAACCCGTCCGCACACGCACAAATACACCACAAGCAGCAGCCCGGAAAAGTTGGCGAATAGGGCCTTTGAAATGCAGGAGGTTCTCGAAGAATCTATCGGAGAGGTGCGATGGCGCCCTGGCCGGATTTCCGGAACGCTAGTAGGCGCGCTTGTCACCCATCAGGAAGGAGATGCCCTCGAACAAGCTTTTGGCCACTGGCACGAGAGACTTGACAGCGATCTTGTACAAAGCTTATCTTCTTCTCCAATGACGGTCACACGTGCCATCTTGCCCATCCCCATATGTTTATCTCCGTCTGACACGGTCTAGGTTGGTGGCGCAACCGAGTACGTAGTCGTACGCGTACCTGCATCTCGGGGCTGTATAAGAACTTAACCATTCACTTTAGTTACGGTTCATGGATAGTTGTTCTTTAATTCTTTTTCTGACGATGCAGCTCTTCAGGTTCAGTGCATTTGCGTCAATACTGGCGTCGGCCTCGGCATGTGGAGGCGACGACAGCTGCTATGGACCGCTCAAGGACGACATAGTACTTACGAGGAACGTTCGAAGGATGCAACCTGATGCGCAAAACGCGACTACAATGCCTAAAGGTCCCCTTGAATGGGGTCAGATTAATTTCTTGCACACCACTGATACCCACGGGTGGCTAGAAGGGCATATCAAGGAACAGAACTATGGCGCCGACTGGGGGGACTACGTCAGTTTCACAAAACATATGAAGCAGAAGGCGCGAAAGCTCGGCGTTGACTTACTTTTGGTTGATACAGGTGTGAGTGGTTACCGTTAATGTTCGACTCCGAAATAACAAGCTCACTAACCCGGCGATAGGATCTGCATGATGGCGCCGGACTGAGTGATGCATCCACTCCCAACGGCAATATCTCTAATGCCGTTTTTGAGAACATCGACTACGATATATTGACTATTGGAAACCATGAGCTATACGTTACTGAGATTGCCTACGAGACTTTTAGCAACTTCTCCAAAGTCTACGGAGAGAAGTACCTCACTAGCAATGTGCAGATCATTAATCCAGCTACGGGTCAGTTTGAGTATATCGGACATCACTACCGTTACTTTACTACTGAACAAGGTATACAGAGCATACTTCTCTTATATATATGACATGTCACTAACAGCGATAAGGCCTCCGCATCATGGCCTTTGGTGTTTTGTTTGACTTCGCCGGCAACAGTAACGTCTCCAAAGTCACTAAAGCCGCCGATATGATCCAGCAGCCATGGTTTCAACAAGCCGTGAACTACACAAAGTCGATCGACCTATTCTTGATCACAGGACACAACCCTGTGCGAACGGCTGCAGCCACTAGCACTATGGGCACCGTGTTCAAGGCCATTCGAAGCATGAGGCCAGACGTGCCTATCCAAGCATTTGGTGGACACACACACATCCGAGATTTTACAGTATATGACAATAAAGCCACTGGGCTTGAATCTGGTGAGTAATCGTGACCTTGTCGTTTTTTGCATAACTGACAATGACATAGGTCGTTATTGCGAGACTCTTGGCTGGCTCGCAATGTCTGGAATCAATTCAAGCACTTGTAAAGCACCCCACAACCCCAAGGGCGTCCCTAATCCCACACGTAGCGCGGTAGCACCTGTTAGCACTGGTACTGTGTCCGCTAACGCATCTTTGCCAATGTCTACCTCAAAATCCACAATGCGCTATGCGCGTCGATACCTTGACTGGAACCGGAACACTTTCGCCTATCATGCTGTTGGCAGCCAGCGTTACACTGACTTAGATACTTCAAAAGGCCTCAGCGTGAGCTCTCAGATTACCTCAGAGCGCGCCAAGCTCAACCTGACCGATCTCTACGGTTGTGCGCCAGCAACATATTGCCAATACTGCAAGCCATTCATGGCTGAAGGCAACATATTTGGACTTTTACAAACTGCACTAGCTACGGTTGCTGTGAATGAGACCCGCAAGGACACTCCACGACTCATCATTATAAACACGGGCAGTGTCCGCTTCGATCTTGCCCAGGGACCTTTCACCTATGACGACTCATTCATTGTCTCTCCGTTCAAAGACGCGTTTCAGTTTATTCCAGACGTGCCTTATGAGCAGGCTTCGAAAGTTCTTGCCATACTAAACGCGGGCCCCTTCCAAAAGAAGAAGAGAGATATCAGCACCGCCGATTTCGGTTTCAGCCCCATCCTCGCAGACCGAGATACTTGTATTGATCCTCTACTTACACACCATTATGATGGAATGACCCGCCGCTCGAAACAAGGTGGCCGTCTCATCCGTCGCCAATCTACTGCTCCAAACCCAGGCCACATCACCCAAGACGACTTCGGTACTGATGGCGACGACACGGTGCACTCCCCCATTCCAAACTACTCGCAACCAAACGACCTCCAGGCAAACGCCTCTTTCCCGCTTGATGGGTCCATGCCAAAGACGGTTGACCTTGTGTTCCTGGACTTCATTGCGAGTTACATTGTCAATGCTCTAAACACACCCGATGTTGGCGGCGATTTCTCACTAGGGCAGGTGTCCTACTATATGGATAAGAGCTTTACCACTAACAGTTACCTGCCAGCATATGCAAAAATCGCCTGGCAAGCAGATGTACCGAACTGTCCGGTAGGGAAAGGTATTGGCACTTCGTAGTGGCTCATTCACTAGCTTTTAGAAGTAATTTATCACATTACTCTTACTTTTCTTTGCGTGTGCAATTAGTGTGATGTGGCCATTTTACGGTATGTTGGCCGAATGTGCGTACTGGCGAGACTTAGGCAAGAGTCTGATAGCGGTGGGCCACCCACAAGGTATATCATCAAAGAACCCATGAAGAAGATTGTATATCTATCGCCCAGGCGTGAACAAAAGGTCCAAGAGAAGTCAGATTAAAGAAAATTAGCCAGATTTAGCTTCCTTGGCCGCATACCGCAGAACCCACCACGCACACGAAACCCCCGCCAGTCGCCAACCCCACCATTCGCACCGATACCAAACCGCCGGAAATTAACCTGATAGGAACACAACAAGGTGTAATGCACTGACCATCACGCTGCCACACTTAGGCGCCCTGCGGCCAGTTGATTGGTCGCAGTTCTATCCTCCGCGCCCCTTCCTGAATCCTTTCAATGTTACTTCAGTCTGACCTCATCAGCGTCAACATGTACAACACCGAGAGGGATACCCCAGAATGATCTTCCTACGTTCTGCAACCTAACCTGCAACGCTTGTCTCCATAGTCTTCTTATTAAGATCGTTATCCGCGGACTGGTTCATATCAAACAACCCAGCGATCAGCAACAAGCATCATGGCATCGATATGGGAAGGCGCCGTGGCGCTATATCGCAACTTGGCGCGTGTGTTGAGCTCTGGATGTCCCACAAACGTACGTAAATACTGCCCATGGTCTTGGAATCGGACAGGCCGTTTGAGATGAAGTTTGTAGGATGATCCCGCGTATCGAGGTTTTATCTTCTACAAGACTATGTCGTCCAATGAAGTAAGTCCTTGGCCTTTGCCATATCTAGAAGCCAACGACGCCGAGAACTGACACAACATATAGTCGGTGTCGAGCTTCGGCAGACCATCATTTGAGAGCATGCTAGAGTAGTGGTTTGGGGGGACAGAGTAAAAGTTTGCATTCTGGGAGTTTAGGCAGTAGGCCGAGTTTAGGGAAACGTTATGCTATCTAGTTGTCATCGGGGCCTTTTCGGAAATTCTAGTCTACACTAGACATTGCGAACACATGTCATACAATTGCTCCGCTCACACAACAAGCGACAGCGAGTGTCCGCCAAGAGAAAAGAAACGCGAGGTATATGGGTAGGCGTCTTGTTGAAACCAAACCATCGATTTTGACTACCGAAACCGCAAAGCACTCACAAACAGAAGACCGTGTCTACCGCTCCTATTGAGGTGCTTGTTCGAATTCCCCATTTCTGTCCAGTCGTTCTGCAAATTCGGTTTGTTGCATCTGTTGCTGCATCTGCTGTTGCATCTGCTGTTGCTGAGAGAGGACCAACTCGGAAGGGTCCAATCCCAGATTAGCTGGGGATGCAGAATGCCACCATAAATTCTGCATATCGACGAGAGGAGTACCCTGGTCGAAGCTGGTGACGAAGGGGTTACCGAAAGCGAAAGACGTCGACTGATGTTCAGACCAATGATAGGGGTACAGGGGGCCAGCAAACTGCTGCTGGAAAGGCGGCAGCGCTAGACCTTGCGACGCTTCCTGTAGAAAATCAGTGACATCAGGTGTATTCCACAGATCTGGTTGCGACCGTAGCGTGGAGTTTCGCAAGTGTGCAGAATGTGGAGGCTGAGGAGCTTGATCTTGGTCATCAGCAACGAGCTCCTTGACCTGCTCTCGTAGAGCTGGTGCACATGTGTTTAGGATCTTGTAAACAACGTCGTAAGCCCGAGAAGCGACAGGGTCATTGACTCGCATCGCTCTGAGCCAACGTATCATCTTCTTAATAGACGTGATGATATCAGCTTTTTCTTCTGCTAGATGCTTGCCCTCGTAGGCCATCTCAAGCAACAGTACGGCCATAGTTTGCATGACTAGTGGACTTTTTGTTACCCCAGACTTGCTTATCGTTCAGATATTGCCACTTACTATTATGAACCACGTCCCACCACGGTCCTTGTGAGTATATGAAGCCAGTATCCGGTTGATCAGGCAGCAGCCTTACCATCTGTCGAGCGGCATAAACGCAAGTTTCAGCCATCTTTGCATTGAAGTTAACGGATCTCTCACTCTCTGATGCTATGCGTCGCTCAATTCGGCAAAGACATGGTCGGGTTATGAGAATCATTGTACTCCAATAGTACATCTTGAGCAGGAAGCGTTCGCGATGGAGGTCGGGTCTGTGAGACCAGCTACTGGTACGGTGATCCTCGGGTGGTAAGGCAGACTTTGACCATTCTTCAAGCTCCTTGAGCAGCTGCGTGATTTTTGTCTGGATGTGCTATTGATGATAGAGTCAGCGAGTCCTTATAGTCACCGGAAACTTAAGCGAAGCAACAAAGTTGATAAAAGAAGCCCTATATATGTACCTCCCAAGATTGGATAGCAGTTCGCGGCGAGTAAAGGTTGAGAAGAACCTTTTGTGAGATGAGCGTCAGGTCGATGTAGGTAACGAAGTAGTGGCTTTCACCAGTACTCTGCCTGCCAGACTCAAAAGTACTGCTGCTCGCATTTGTTCGTGGCGGACTATAGCTCGTACGAATGCGGGAAGCTTGTCGGGAAGCACTACTGTCTTGATCTGGTGCCCTACCCGTGGTCTGTGGATGAGATACTGTACAATCTTCGTTTGCGATGACAGGGGGGCGGCCTGTTATGGAGGATACGAGACACTCTATTGAGTGTAAACACCACCAAAGCTTCACCAACGGCTCTCGCTTTGCTTCATCCAACGATGGATCTTCGTTACGCAGATGTAGGCCAAGCGCCAGAGCGAGTCTGATGGAAAGCCCGATCATGATCCAAGCTCTACTCACGTGGCCAATAACCAGAAAGTAGAACGCTAATGTACCTGTCTGAAGTTTGTTGTGTCAGGTACGTGAAAGAATATCAAGGAGTACCAGAGACTTACGGCTTGAACCCGGTCCAAATTGGGAGCTGCAATGAAGGCCATGGTATCTTTCAATCCGAGGAGCTGAACGGCCCGCGTCATATAAATTAAATGGTCTCGCTCATCACCTCTCCATTCGGCGCCGGTAAGGTGAGAGTATTTCGCGCCAATCGCAAATAGCAGGTTCATTGTCGCACGCCACTTGGGCGGAACATGGTATGGGCGCTGATTCCGTATAGATTGGATGTAACGGCAAAACTGATCCTCGAAATTGGCGGGCATGAGTGGGAAGGTGCCATGTACGGTATCGTTGTAGCAGTTGAAGAGCTTCTCGGCAGTGCCCGGATTTGGCATCTCGTATGGGTCCACGGCGATGTCGATTTCAATGTCGTCGCTGTCCAGATAAAAGGTTGCATCTGTGACGTGGCGCATGGATCCTGGTCTAGAGTTTTGTCTCCGTTCATGTAAAGCGTCGGATCTTTCATTAATAGCTCCCAGACTCGCACCAGGCGGACCGCGCCGCTGACCATGAGGGTCCGTATTACCACGCTCTACCTGGCGTTGGACGCTTCGCAGCCACTGGACCTCGGAATTTTGGCCAATATAGCCGGTCTCTCTAGCTTCACGGTTTCGCATCAGGTCCTCGTCGAGAATGCCAAGATCTTCGTTGGACCCGACAGATGCGGTCACAAAAGCCTCTCCATGATCAGCGTTCTCTGGCTCTTTCCCAACTGAAGATTGCTCACGCAGTCTCTTTCCGAGGGTCCTGACAGAATGGACGGATCCGACAGAGACTAGATCCTCCTCTACCTATACCAGAGCCAAAGTTAGTTGATTATTTCTGTGCCATGCATTGAGGGTGGCAGGTGAGCAAGGGGTACGCACGTCTTGTAATGCTTCGTTGATGATCTTCTTGTCCGCCTCGTCAACGCGGCCCTCAAGGTCTTTGAGCAAGCTAACGAGGTTCTCATTTAGTCGCATTGCCCTATAATATTAGATTGTAAGCTGAAGAGGATGGGCTTTTGGGTGCCTACTCTCCAAGACGATCTCTCCGTGCTGGATCGTACACACAGACTAGATTGCTTCGTTCGCAATTGGCGCAACGCGGCGTGCCACCTGAACACCTGACTTCTGGAAGACATTAACAAGAATGATCGGGTACAAAAATTAAAGGGCGGTATACTCCGCTTGCGACAGGTTTTGCAGGCTCTCGCTCTAAGCAGAGATGTTAGCATGCCCAGGTGCCGACTAGTGTGGGGTGAGAGAACACTGACACGCGTTCCTCTTTATCGTATCTTTCTGACAATTCGGTACTTTTATGCGGCGCCAGATTCTGGATCGCGATCTTTCTAGCCTGTCCATGACTGGAAGGTTCAGGCGTACTTTGCTGCATAGTGAAGGCTGGCTGTGATTGGAAGCCAGTTGGAGACCCGCACAGCCAGTGCAGATGCAGCTCGCGCGGAAAGCCGTCCCCAAGAGATCGATCCGTTCATGTGCTGAGGATGGGTAGGCCTCTTTGGAGGGTGTACGAGGCGGAAAGGGTGTGCTGAGACCCTCTGATGCGATCAGACTGTTGATGCAGGGAAGACAGGCCAACAATGGTGCCGGGAGACTATGTTCAAACGAGTCGGAGCAGATCCACAGGCGGCAAACAGAAGACTAGCTGTCGCTTGAACCCTTAGTACTGTTGGAGGATGAACAGAGAGGGTACCGCCTGTCAAACAATTGATAGGCGGATATACACGCGCCAATCAGATCGTCCGCGCCGTTGCTGTTCAATTCATCACCACGAACGAGGTCGGGTTTTTTACCTTGTCTGACAATTTAGTACACAGTACGCTAAATGTATGTACAGTATTTTGCCTTGAAACAATTGAGATATGCCGCTGTTGTTTGCAAACGCGCGTACCCGAATCTTTAGAGCAACACTCAACAAGTACAAGCTCCTTCGTAATCAAGGACGGCATCGTCTCGAGGTTTCTACATCGACAGGGCACCAGCAAACCCCCTCCATACGACTACCCGGCGCTTCTTGATCAGGTTTTTTCCGTCGGGATCGCGATCCAAGACAGGGCGGCGAGGAGCCCCGCGGAAGACGGCTGCGAGGCGACGCCTCCGGCTCCGAGACATGGCAGCACACAATGTACAGACGAAAAGAAAGATAAAACACAGAGTACTAAATCTTCAGCATATATGCGGCAATTCTTGGGCGATGCACTATTTGAAGGCGTAGCCAAAGTGTCGTCCTACTTCTTGCTATGACTGGGTAGGTGCGCGCGCCCACGTCATAATTTACTTTACTATGTCGCTTTGGGACTCATCATACTCTTCAACATGACGATTCCTTACTACGCGACTCGATTGATATCATTTGCCTAGTTTCATCCATCGAGAGTGACAGAAGCCGCTTATGCACAAAGCATACGGCTGGGGCTTTTTGGTATTTTCTAATCGCACAACGTCATCCTTCAACAACCCCCCCACAGTTCCATGCACGTTTCGTGTATGCCGATGTTCGTAATCCACGGCACTCTATGACCAAGGGTTTTACAGTGTAGACGTACCTTTTTGCTGGCCTTTGAACATGTTAAAATCTTCACTAACCATCTCTTGACCTATCTTGCGGAAGCACATACTGTGTCTGTACATACTCGTTACGACACTCGTAGATCTACAACGAAGAGCGACACTCGATGAGCTTCCTAGCTACCTAGAGCAGAACATGGAGCTAGAAGCGAACTACGTGGTTAGAATACCAGCTCTGCGGGTCGGAATGACGCGCGCTGACTGGTTTAGAGACGATTGTTTCCTGAAGGGGACTTATTTAAGTCAGCGACTCTGCTCATAACTAGCGGGCAATGGCGTCACAAAATGTCGGCCTTGCCCGTAGCCTAGGGCACTACCCGTTCCCTGCCCCTTGGATAGAAAGAGCCCATACGCTTGCAACTTATTCCTACACTGCAACAACCGCGAAGACCAATTTTCGTCCACCAAAACTGGGCGTTGGCGATGATGGATGTACGCTCTGCTCTGGCAGAAGGGTCAACCTGGAAGCACGCTTTACCATGAACGGAAATTACTGCTAGCTCGCCGCGTTAGGCTAGCGATCCGCGCGGAATTTTCCATTTCCGGACTTCCGAGGCTTCCTTCTCATCACGACATCACGATCACATTCCATCTTCATCATGCGTTGTCTTCCAACACTGCCCCATCACACTGTCTAAATGCTTACAAGGATAAAGTCCTGCGCAGAATGTCGAAAGAAACGCATAAAATGCGTCGCAACGCTTCCGCAATGCCTCATGTGCATCCGCACCGGCCGGGAATCTTGGACTTGGACTGTCGGATGGACCCTTGTTTGTAGATATGACAAACATTGCAAAGTACGGTATGCAGAAGCGCAAATCGAACCCTTCGCATGAGATCAGAGCATTTCTTACGCAGGACTGTGCGTATCCGAACAGCCTGCTAATCCACCGGATCTCTCCACGAGCAACGGTGATGGAGTCACTCTACGAACGCTTTTTGGCCTACTTTACTTCCGATGGCGAGGAGAGAGATGTACGAAATCGAAAAACCTGGTTGTATAGCCTACCCGTTCTGTCAGCAGATGGCACCAACGAGGCCCTCACGCTAGCGATACAGGCCACAGCATACGCGTTTTGTGCAGTTGAGGCTGCCGATATAGCAATAAAGCAGCATTTCTTGAAGCTATATGGGCAAGCTCTCCGAAAGTACAGTCATTTTCTTTCACGCCCGCGATCTAAACATGAAGTTACGGTGCACATGGTGTCCTGTGCCAGTTATTTTACCATCTACGGACACAACTCTTGCTTCTCCATTTAGCGGGTCACGGGAAGGAGACTCCCGTCGAAGCGAAGCGGATTTTGTATGGAACATTGGAGTACGTTCAGCTGCCTATGTTTCAGAGGCTTATGGGCTACATCTCAACATTGGCCGAAGTCTATTTTGCGCACAAACATGGCGTGGCAGAACAACATCTTAATCATAATGCATACACGATCATCAAGATGGACGTTGAGTCACTTTGGCTTGAATATACAGAGGAGGCTGCGCTTGCGGACATATTCCTCGTCTAGGAAGACGCTTCGGGCGCCATGCATTTCCGCGACGCCTTTACCGTTGCATACTTCAGTGCAGCTCGCATAATACTTGGCATCGCAGTACCACAGGATGGGACTATATTGCAAGCCTCACAGTATCTGAAAATACACACAATGGGTTGCGCATATATGCGCATGGCTGCACCTTTACTGTTGGTTGCGCTGCATTGCCCCCGATCGAGCCAGCAGAGGCAAGCCACGGCATGCTTCGAGCGCTGGAACACCAAAACCCTGTCGGGAAATAGCGCACTTGTATTGGAATCAATGTATCGCCATCGAACATCGGAGGTTTACCGCTCACTACCGAATCCCGATGCTAGTGTTGCTCTGTTCATTCCCAAACAGTAGAGATCTCGATGAGGGAGATGCGCTATTGTCGAACACACTCACAAGCATTTCTGGAGTCAACGTGGACATAGTGCATGTGGGGCCTGCTCCTCGGGTGGCTACCTGGACTATTGGAAGCGACGTTACCACTAGTGATCTATCCGGACTAGCATAAATAATGCCCAAACGATTCATAATAGTAACATCCGATCCTCGACACGAATTGCTCCATTTTGCAATCTCACCAAACCTGCTGAAGTTACACTGCATAACACGATGCACGGCAGCAAGCTCGATCGTCACGAAATTTGTTGCAAGGTACAAGATCCATCCCTTTGCAAAAGAAGGAGCTGCGCTGACGTTGGTGAATGACTGTGCAACACCATGTCGACTGCCACCTGACTTATCGACCATGTGATTTTCAAGGGCCTAGGCCAAAGGATAGCTCTTGTTCTTAGCTCTTGGCAAGTAACTGCAGGCGCTTATTCACCCAAAAATCACCTAGTATTCTTGTTGCTTACAAGCGCTGACCACGGATAAGGTCGGATGAGCTTCAGCCCCGGAAGCTTTTGTTGGTGACTAACATGTGCTTTGCTGCATCGAGCTGTTTGATCTCTGTTCATATTAGCTGCCATCTCGATGTCAAGTCACGACTACGATAATCTTGGTTAGGGTAACGGTTCAAGTAGCAATGCTATCAATGCAGGTAAACGTGCCTAATAACCGTTAACGACTCCGGGGTTAGCTTTGGATTCTTGAGTCCACGTCACAAAAAGTCTGCGTGCTTGGAACATTGTTTGCTCGTCAGGTGCAGCGTGTAAGTTTTTTTTCTTTTCTTTCGTTTCCTCAGCTCGTCGTCTTGCTGGTCCCTCCCTCTCCATCTCAGTGTTTTGGTCGGCGAGAGAAATGATGGCGACCCACAATGAACTGCGATTCCGGAAACTAGACTGTTAGATGGCTTGGTCTTTCGCCGAAATGTAGGGATACGAGTGGCATAAGACTAAATACGTTACTTGTCGGATCGTGAGTATCGGTAGAGACGTCGGCTGCTGGACACTTCGGCCCGACTTCGGCCCACCTTGCGCAGAGCTTAGGTATACCTTCGTAGCAGCTGTGTTCGTAATAAATCACCATCACCGAACAGAATGCATTCCTAGTTATCGTTATTTCCTTTCAGCACTAGTGCTATAGACCTTCCAACACTGATCAGTGATTGCTTAAGGCGATCACAGACAGCAAGGTAGAAGAGACAGACCGCATCTTCGACGAACTCCCTGACGCACGACGTTATACTCCCGGGAGAAGATTCTGTGCTAAGAACAGAGCGAGGCAGAGATAACACAAAGCACTCTTAACCTCCCTCTACAGCTGCTGGTTTAGCTTAATCCGCGAACACAGAGCGCGTCAGCAACGCAATACAACTCAACCGTACGAGCGTCTCCGGACGATCCGATCACGTACAACAACAAGCGCTGGCACGACCAACCAGCGAGACAACAACACCGACAACGCGTCAACACCCGCTAGCAAGATGGCGGATAACCAAAGCGAAATAAGCTCTGCAGACTCTGCTGAAGCTCAGAATCAACTACAGAATGAGCAATCAGAACACCTCTCAGACTCACCATGGGCCAAATTTACCGCGGAACAACTTATGGAAAACTGTCCATACACAGTTGCACTCAAGGTCATCAATACAGCTCTCTGGGGTGTACCCGCACCGGCGGACGCAAATGAGACACACGCAACAACGTGGGTCGCTAAAGCTATCCACGACTACAATGTGTCAATGGCCTGGGACGATGACCTCTTCATTGACTACAAATGGGACTTTGAAGGATGGACGAAGGAGCTATTTAGCAAGGTTGAGCGTGGTACACTAAGGTCTCTTAAGAGTGTGCTACGACACCGGGGAGTATACACTGGCAACAATCACGCCAGGGTGGCGGACTCTCTCTACAACATTCTAGGTATAGAGAATACTCTTGAATGGGAACCAGCAGAGTTTCGAGCCATGAAATTCGACCAACAGTCCGAAGCGTACCAGCGCCAGCAGAGCAATAAACGCCAACAGGACACTCAGCACACAGTCTATCCAGCTGTACAACAACCACCGCAAGTACAACAACTGCCGCAATTACAACAACCGCCGCAATTACAACAGCCACCGCAAGTACCACAGCCGTCGCAATTACAACGACCGTCGCAGGGCGAGCAACAAGAGCAGTATAGAGTGAGACAAGGCGTCCAGAGCCGTTCCCAAACAATAGAGCCACAACAGCCGCTACACATGAGCGGTACGCTAGAAGGGCCTCAGCATCGACAACTGTGGGAGCAGGCCGCGCAGCCGCAACAAGGGCGTGCGCAACTACAGACACGGCCGCCAGCGACTGCATATCGCGAAGTCACGCCATTTCCGCAACAGCCAACGAACCGCGTCCCTAACAGACCACCCGAACTACCATACGACCCGTACAAGACGCTACCGCCGCGATGGTCCCGCAACGATCGACTCGACGCTAATACGATCACGCAGTTCTCTAAGCTATGGGACAATAGCAACAAGTATACAGGGAATGCGTACGATCTCCTAGACGATAAGATCAAGATCTTCTTCAGCATCTGCTGGCAGGTAGATATCCAAGAAGAGCAGTTTCACGCAGTGTTTCCCCGTATCCTTACCGGACGTGCAGAGACATTCTACATACAGGTTGTAGAGAGAGATGACAGCTTTGCTGATGCGTACATGGCAATCAAAAACCACTTCGACCATGACGTCCATCACCAGCACTACTACACAGACTGGACGACTACAACCTTCGCTCGCACCCGCACAGAGAACCCCGACAAGGGACTACACGAGGTTCTGCAGATCCTGCTTGACAAGCTGCAGCTATGCCAGCGTGCCCTTGGCAAGAACTTTGAGGGCGAGGATGCCCTACGTACCACTGTCATCAATGCCTGCCGAGGAGTACCAGAGCTTGAGATGGCACTGTTCAAACCAGCCACAATCTGTGAAGGACTCTTCTCAGACCTACGTTCTGCAGTTGAGACACACCTTGCACGGCAACACACTACCCAGATGGTCACAGAGGACCAATACTACTTAGATCGCCGATACAACGGCAATGGAAGAATCCGAGGTAGATCTCGAGGTGGAGGAGGATTCAGAGGCGGATCTAGAGGAGCATATCGAGGAGGCGAGCAGCGCGACGACAACGGACGAGGATTTAAGCCTCGCTGGAGGAAGAAATGCTTTGTTTGCCAGAAGGAAGGATGCTGGTCTACCAACCACACAGACGAAGAGCGCAAGGCTGCCCGTACACAGTTCTTCTCTACGCTATACTTTACAGGTACACAGCCCCCCAAGGACTTCTCCGTACATCTTGCAGAATACGAAGGGATCGAGCACACTAGCCAGTACAATCAGAGAGGATGGAGAGAGGAGGAAGACTGCGAGGATGACGACGATGACGACGTCGCGGAAGCATACCTTGAACAGCAGTTTTTCACGGAGCAATGCCTTGCAGATCAGGCGTTCTTGCACCACATCTCTGGCGACGACGTATACCGCCAAGACGCGCCATCAGCGCCAGCGTCACAGTTCCTGCTTGAAGACCGCTACACAAGATCTGTGTACCAAGGGATCCTACCGGATACAGGCGCTGCCAACGTATCCACAGTTGGCAAGGAGCAGTACCTTGCACTCACAAGGGAAGATCCTACAGTTAGGATGGATACGTCTACAGCAGGAAAGGCATCTATCAAATTCGGCAAGGGCGAGGCTACATCATCTATTGGCACTGCACAGGTCTCTACAGACATTGGGACGATCAACTTTGAGGTGCTTGACGCACCTACACCATTCTTATTGTGCCTTGCAGACATGGACAGGTTAAAGGTCTACTTTAACAACACCACAGATGAGCTAGTCCAGGGTGACGTACACATCCCTGTAATTCGCAAATGGGGACATCCTTGGTTCCATCTGAACAAAAGAGAGAGAGCAACTGTGTTCCTGACAGAGACAGAGTTGCGACGGCTCCATCGACGATTTGGACACCCAGCTGTCACGCGACTTGTTAAGCTCTTAAAGGATGCTGGCCATAACGACTTCGAAGAAAGAACCCTAGAAGAAGTCACTAAGTTCTGCCACCACTGCCAGCTCCACAGCTCCGCACCGCGCCGATTCAAATTCACTCTCAAGGATGATCACCACTTCAACTATGAGATCCTGGTGGATGTGATGTACCTGAGCAACAAACCTGTACTGCATGTGGTCGATTCCTCAACAGCGTTTCAAGGCGCGAGGTTCCTTAGCGCTATCTCAGCTAAAGAAACATGGCAAGCACTGCGGATACTATGGATCGACACGTATCAAGGACCACCAGACATTATCACGCATGACGCAGGCACTAACTTTGCAAGCACAGAGTTCCGCGCAGAAGCAAAGATCATGGGAGTCACATGCAAGCAAATACCTACGGAGGCGCACTGGTCTATCGGCAAAACTGAGAGGTACCATGCACCTCTACGCCGCGCATGGGACATACTCTATGCAGAACTCACTGACACTATGTCCGACGACGCGATTCTCCAGATGGCTGTGAAGGCTGTCAACGATACTGCTGGCCCCGATGGACTAGTCCCGACGCTACTGGTCTTTGGAGCGTACCCACGAATGACTGCAGAGTCACCGCCATCCCCGTCAATGGTCAAGCGCAGCGAGGCTATTCAAAAGGCGACGAAAGCCCTACGCAAGATCACGGCAGAGCACCAAGTTGCAGACGCCTTGAACACCCGCAATGGACCAGCCACTGCAGACATGCTCGCGCTCCCACTCCAGAGCGAAGTCTTAGTATGGAGAGAGAGTGATGGCTGGAATGGCCCGTACAAGATCGCCAGTACAGATGGCCACAACGTCACTGTTGACATGGTCAATGGTCCAACGACATTCAGATCCACTGTCGTCAAGCCATACTACAGACCGGACCACCTTTGGAGCGACCCCGATGCGCCACACGCGCCGAATGAGCCGCATGAGCCGGTAGCAGTACCACCGGCAGTGCAACCACGCAGGAGAGGCCGCCCTCCAGGGTCAAAGAACAAGCGGAAGGCGCACGCGTACATCACCAAGAAGGAGCAGGACGATCTTGAGCTAGCTATCAAGCTACGTAACGATGGAGTGATCACAACCTCAGGCGCCCCCTTTGAAGCGTCTGATGACCAAGAGATCAGCGACCTCGTAGGTCGTGGAGTCTTTAAATTTGAGCAATACGACGAGAGGCTACACAGCAAGATCCGGATCTTCAAGTCACGCCTAGTACGTGAGGTCAAGGGAAAGACAACCAAGCCCTATGAGAAATCCCGCCTAGTTATCCAAGGCTACCAGGACCACGGCAAGGAGACTATTCTGACGCAATCTCCAACCATACAGCGATGTAGCCAGCGCCTGATTATGTCGCTGGCGCCCGAGATGGTACAACGCGGAATGAACATCGAGCTCCGTGACATTACGCAGGCGTATCCCCAGGCGCAGACAGCCCTGAAGAGGACGATACTCGCACATCTTCCTACTGAGCTAGTCCATCGATATCCAGAAGGCACGCTACTCCATGTGATCAAGCCGCTGTATGGAATCGCTGAGGCAGGAGTCCACTGGTGGACAACGTATCACGGACACCATTGCAAGGAACTGGACATGGCAACATCGACGTACGACCCATGCCTATTGATCACGAACAGAGACGACGCAGGCATCTTCGGCATCGTTGGCATGCAGACAGACGACACTCTCATGCTCGGGACACCAGCGTTCTCGTCACGTGAAGAGAAGAAGATCCAGAAGGCAGAGTTCAGGTCAAAGCCAAAAGCAAGGCTGACACCAGAAGTGCAGTTAGACTTCAATGGATGTACACTCACGATGGGACGCCCGCAGAGTCTTGACCCTTAGCAGAAAGGACAAGGAGGAAGGATCAAGCTTGTGGATATCAGGGCACCGGAACGCGCGCAACAGTACACCGAGCAGCGCGCCCGCGGAGCGTACATCGCATCAACATGCCAACCAGAGGCGTCATTTGACCTGTCCGTCGCTGCTCAAGCTCAGCAACCATCAGACGAGGACATCAAGGCACTCAACAAACGCCTGAAATGGCAGATGGAGAATCTCGATCGTGGCCTGCGCTACGTCACTGTCAATCTTATGGAGGCCAAGTTGATGGTCTTTGTGGATGGCTCCTTTGCCAACAACAAGGACCTCAGCTCACAGCTAGGCTTTGTCCTTATGCTCGTCAACGAGTCTATTGACGTCAACACCTTCACAATACAGGGCAACGTGATCCACTACAGCTCTACAAAATGCAAGCGCATCACACGGAGCGTACTGGCCTCAGAGATCTACGGCATGGTCAACGGCTTTGACATAGGCATTGCAGTTGCAACCACGCTGAGGATAGTTACAGAACGACTTAGACTACCTGCAATTCCCTTGGTTATTTGTACAGACTCGTACTCCTTGTACGAGTGCCTAGTAAAGCTTGGGACGACGAAGGAAAAGCGTCTCATGATCGACATCATGGCGCTGCGCCAATCATATGAGCGTCGCGAGATCACGGAGATCCGCTGGATCAATGGTGAAGACAATCCTGCAGACGCCTTCACCAAGGCATCGCCAAACCGCGCTCTTGAACGCTTTATTGACGGCAATAAGCTGACAGTCCGAGTAGAGGGATGGGTGCAGAGGCCGACAAGCTTTGATGGTTGATGCTACACACAGTTACCATCAACACATACTGTCACTACCGATACAAGCAGAGTTACTAGCTACCCAGAAAGAAAAGACTTCCAGTGTCGGATCGTGAGTATCGGTAGAGACGTCGGCTGCTGGACACTTCGGCCCGACTTCGGCCCACCTTGCGCAGAGCTTAGGTATACCTTCGTAGCAGCTGTGTTCGTAATAAATCACCATCACCGAACAGAATGCATTCCTAGTTATCGTTATTTCCTTTCAGCACTAGTGCTATAGACCTTCCAACATTACTACTATCCCGAGGGCAACTTTGGCGGGGATCAGCTTCTAGATAGTTTGATTAGCCTTTCACTCGAACACGGGTTGCAGCCCAAAACATTTCATGTCCAAGCTGGTCGATCGACTCTATTCCCCCCTGCGTGCAAGTACACTAGATAGCCTGGAGAGCTGTTTGTGAAAGCATAGGTTCATTGGTGAGATACGTTTTCAGAGTTACATCATCTTGAAAAGGGTGAACAGCCTCTTCCCTCTCCGTGATCATGAAGCAATTGTAAGGTTGAAAAGTACTTGTTGCGGGAGGTTCTTGGTACTGTGTTGTGGTTCGCAGTATATATATCATACCACACCATGATCGCTTCAGATCATCGTATGCGACATAACGATGACTCTGAGACTCTCAACGTACTCAGTGCAAGGCCACTAAGGTTTAAAAATAGTAAGAACCGCCATTGGCTATATCATATCATGTTTACCGTGGATATGTGCTGAGTCAACTGAAGGAAACTTCTGGTGAGGGAAATGAGCGTTTACTTTGGGACTTGTATATATTACTACAACGACGCTGCAGTAAAGCACTATGGATGATAGGAATCCAGGATGAAACGCCATTGCATAACATTCATCCAAAGCCCAATATTCCTGGCACCAGGAGACCCCTCGGTCAGCACACTCTCGCCCAGTATTCACTGAAATATCATAACACAACCAACAGTGACACTGAATAAGACAGAAACAAGAATGATTTCATTCGTAAGAGAAAACTCCGGTAATTCCCATTCAGTAGCTATACAACCATCAATACCATTCCTCCCACGAAGATCAGGCATTGTATATCATCCTATATCCCTTTCATTCATTCCCACAGACAGACAGCTCCCCTTCACATCTAAGTTTTCTGCATTCCCTCCACAAACTTGAGTGCATCCTCCCTCTGCACAACATCAATACTACTCGTCTTATTCGAGTAGCTGACTCCATAGCAGCGATCAGCCACATACACCATCTCAGGTCTAAAAGTTGTGCAGATGAACTGGCCACCACCGTCTTTGTTCTTGCCACCCTGGCCGCTGAGTTTCTCGAGCATCTGCGCGACAGCGGTACGGTACTGCGCATCGAGGTTGGCGTCGATTTCGTCGAAGAGGTAGAAAGGCGCGGGGTCGCATTTTTGAATAGCAAAGATGAGGGCGAGGGCGCAGAGAGACTTTTGGCCACCGGAGAGTTGGCCGATTTTTTGCTGCTCGTCGTGCTTGCTGTTGAAGGATACGGCGATGGAGACGCCCGTGTATTCTTCCACCTTGCTCTTCTTGCCTTGTGTCGCTTCTTCTTCTTCGTCCGAGGAGGCGTCGTCGCCACCGCCGCGGCGGGCGTCGCGGTCGGACTTTCGGTTGATAATGAGACGGCCGCGACCGATGGGTACGAGTTGTTGGAAGACTTCGCCAAAGGCCGAGGCAACTTGCTTGAAGGTACGGGCAATGGCTTCATCCTTGCGCTGGTCCAGCACGTCGATGAGGTTTTCGATCGACTTCCGCGAGGTATCTAGTTCGGCGCGGCGTTCGGTGAGGGTGCGGCGTTGGCGTGTAAAGTTTTCGTATTGTTCAAACGCCTTCTTGTTGACGTGGGCGAAGCTCTTGAGGGCTTGGTTGGCTTTGGTAAGCTCTTTGGTCACCTTTAGGTATGTCAGTATGCGCACTGTCATCATAACCATATGAAACTTACCTTTGTGGTGTCCCATTTGGTGTACTTTCGATCCACGTCTTCTGGAAGAGTCCCCAGGTCTCGAATGTCTCGTTTTACCTCAGCCAGCCTATCGGTGAGACGACTGCGATCTGAGTCTTTCTTGGACATGGATTGCTCTTGCTTTGCCATCATCCTAGCGAGCTGCCGATTGGTAGCCTCCTTCTCGTTTCTTAAGTTTTCCAGCTCGCCCAACTGAGCCCGTATTTCTTCAATCTGAGCATCAGTCTCCTGGATCTGTAGGTCGAGATTTGTAATCGTCTGATTCACATCGTCTAGTGCGCGCTCATACTCGCGTAAACGCGCGGACTGGCTAGTCGAGCCACCCACACCCCCTTGTTGTGCCTGGATGTTATCGAGTTCTGGCTGTAGGTTCTCGTTGAGATCAAGCTCAGCCTCGACTTTGCGAGTTTCCAGGGCAGCTCGCTCCTCCTTTGCACGTGCAAATTGTCGCTTCAGATCTTGAACAGTGCTCCGCAATGTAGTGAGCATTTGCTCCTCGTCGTTCGATAGCGCTTTCTCGAACTTGGAAGCCACCTCCGCCTCCCAATCACTCTGCTGTGCCCCAAGCTGATTGATTGCCGACTGCAGTGTCGAAGCGGTCATTCGCTTCCTTGCAAGGCTCTCCTGAATTTCTCGGAGGGTCCTCTGCTTGAGCCGCAATTCTTCACGCATGGGTGCATAGCTGTTTTCTCCCTTGTCCTTCTCGTGCTCCCGCCTACGGACCTCACTTAGAGCTGCAGTGAGTTGCTGACGCTTCTGTTCAAGTTCTGTTGCAATTTCGCGCTTACGTTGCAGTAATTCGTCGTATTGCGTGCGTATTTCGGCGAGAGCTTGATAAGCCCTGATCTTGGACTTGGACGGATCGTGGTAACCTCCTCGGTACTGGCCCTTTCGCGAAGCATTATCTCCATCCAGAGTATACGCGCGAACGTTGTACTGCTTCGCGTTCTTCTTGCAAGCAGTCAAATCAGGGCAGACAACGATCTTACCGAAGACATGGCTGAAGGCATTTTCGAATCGTTGGTCATACCTCAATTTCGGCAACAGTGGTTGCATATCGCCCGTGGCAGGTAGATTCATATCATGTCCCCGAATACGATTGAGGGGAATAAAAGTGATACGTCCGCCCTTGTCTTTGATCAGTCTGTCGATGAGTTTACTGGACACTTCGTCGTTGTCTACGACCACGTTGAACAGAGCACCCTCAGCAGCAGCTTCTGTGACAGACCGATAGTCATTATTAACTTCCAGTAGGTCGGCGATAGTGCCATGAACTCCCTCCAGATCTCCTTCTTTCTGGTAGCGACGTAATGACTCAAGTCCACGACTGGTGCCATGGTCGAGCAGCCGAGAAAATGTACTTTCCGCCTTTCGGAGCTCGGCTTGGGAGTTTGTAAGTTGAGTGTTGACCCTGTTTTCCTCGCGGTAGAGGTTTGTCTGCTCGTCATGTACAGCCTTGTAGGCGTCCTTGGCTTGCTCGACCTTGGCCGCGAGATTAACGCTGGCATCACCTTCACTCTCGATGGTTGATCTGAGATGGGCAATCTCACCCTCAATACGCTCGATGTCGCTTTCCAGTTGAGTGATCTCTTCGCTAGTCTGCATGAGAACAGCCTTGCGGCGGCTAAGGTCGTCATTTGCTTCCTCTATCTGGGCGCGCAATGCTTCGTCTCGCTGCCTTTTGGTGGTGTAGAAAGCAGTACGACCCTGCTTCTCCTCGAGCCGCTTCTGTTGGCCTTCAGCTTCTAACAATTGTGATCTGACGGCTTCCTCCTCCTCCTTCTTTGCGTTGTATTCGGGTAGCAGTTGCTTCAGCTCTGCCTCTCGTGCTCGTATCTGCTGCTGGAGCGACTTTATTTGTGTATCGCGCGTCTTCTTCGTTCGCTGGGCGACCGACTGGTTGTCCTGCAGCGCCTTGAGCTCGAGCTCGATCTTCGCCTTCTCCAGTGTTGCCGACTTGCGTTCCTGTTCCGACTGCACACGGTCCTCCCGGAGAACATCCAAGTCACCTCTCCGCTTATTGATATCCGTGTCGATCTGTGCAATTTCTGCCTCGGTCTGCACAAAGGCCGCCTCGTTGTTTTCCTTCATCTCACGGCCGTGACTCTCAAGCTGGTCGATATTCTCAATAGCGGCCTCGAGATCGGCCTCCTCGCGTGACTTCAATGTGTACATCAACGACCGGCGTTCCTTGTCGTTCCGGCTCCATGCCTCCAGCTCCTCCTTCTCGCCCTCCAATTCGTCCAAACGCTCGTTGATTGTGGTTACCACGCCGTCAATGTTGGCGCACTTGTTGTCGGTATCGGCGAGCAGCTTCAAACTATTTGCGCGGCGCTCTTCGTACACATTGGAACCGGATATCTCCTTCAGCAGCTTCAATCGCTCAGAGTCCTTCATGTTGGTAAGTGCCGTCACACGACCTTGGGGTACAATGTAGTAGGGGTTTGATCGCGAGAACCGGCAGATTCGAGGATCTGCATAACTTCGGATTTGGTAGCGTTCTTGCGGTTGACTGAGTACTCGTCCTTCTTTGCGCCAATCGTCCGGCGCAAGTAGAATTCTGGCTTGCCCGTCTGGAAGCGGTCCTCTGTGTTGTCGAAGCACACCTCGACATATGCTGACATGACAGCCGAGCCAGAACCCTCGTGTAGCAGGGCCTGCCGCTCTTCGCGGCCCAAGTTGTGGTAGTCATCGCCCAGTACGAAACGTACAGCGGCGAAGAAGTTACTCTTTCCGGAACCATTGCGACCGACGACTACATTGCAGTTGGGTGAGAAAGGCTCGATTTGCAACTGCTCCTTGTAGCTCTTGAAGCCCTGGATCGTGATCTGCTTGATGTATCCCATCGCGGCGGTTTCGAGCGATTGTAGCGGGTAGGATTGACGGATTACTGTTTGCGGTCGCGCGTAGAATGTGAATGCGATCGCGATAGTGCTTATCAGCACATGGCGGGGGGCTTGTGGTCGAAGGCGTAGATGGGGATGCGTCTACCCACTGGTTGCACCAACGACGCGGTGCGCGTCGCGCTTTCCCGCCAAGCCTGACGCTCAGACCAAGCCGCCTCTCCAACATGTCTACGTCGAATGCTGGGGCATGACGTCGCGAGCTATTCTTCTGCTTTACACCCGTACGATGTATCTCATCGTCCTAGTCACAGTTACGCTGACCCTCAATGCTATGTTTGCTCGTCTCTCCTTATCTTGCGCATCTGAGAGATGCATCTTCCAGTCATATATTGCATCTTCCATGTCAAAATATGGCTATAATGGCATTATTGTACTGCTGTTCTTCCAACGGAACAATGATGAGATATCGGAGCACATGTCTTTACCTACCCCGCCACCCCAGCTCGGGTACCCGTTCCACAAACCAAGATATGATCAATGTCATGCAAATCACGTATCGAATATTTGCCTCGGCTTCGACTAAGATGCAGAAACGACAAAAGCCTCTGCGCGGGTGAAGAGAAACGAAATTGTGATATTGCGGATTCATGCGAAATGCTTCCTAAACAGTTGGCGAGTGCAATGAGGCTCGTGTTCGCAAGACTCTGACTTGAAAAACTATGAGCTTCGCAGTGTGATGTTTGCATCATGACAATGCCCAGTCAAGCTTGGCTTCCCCAAAAACAATTGTCTAGAAGTTTACTTGGGCCAGGTTTCAATTCCTTAGCCCAGCCTGACTATTTCCCGTGTCGTATTCAGATGGTGTTTTCGGTTCGTGACATAGTTAAGCCGAACTAAAAGTACGCAAAGCACTTCTCGGTGTTTTCACCAACCCCGCTGATCAATCAATTCATTAGTCACGGATCTAGTTCTAGCCAATCCTCCACGAGAGACTGAAGCCCATGGCTGAAGCATGCATGTACCGGCAATTCGCAGACAGACACGGGCTGCGGTGTAGGAGTGGTAGCGATGCATACGAGGCAGTGCGCACCGTCTCGACCTGCACGTCGACGTTGGCAGCAAGTATGCAGCCGTAGTGAACAAAAGAAGTAAGGAGTGCAGTCCAACCCTGGGCCCATAACTATGGGCTGGCTCGTACCGTGAAGATAGCAATACGGCAATGGTTTGGAAGGATTGTTCGCCACTTTGTGGAAATGTTCCCCGGGCAAGTAAGGGTAAGGACTTTCTTGGCGATGCGGCTGCTAGCCCTGCCAAAGTGCAGGTGCTCTCGCAGCAGCATAGCTAGGTGATGGCTTTGGGGTAAAATGGTAAGCCACAGTAAAAGTATGAAGGAGTCGCATAGTAATAAGTTAGTATATTCTCACGTTGCTTTTGCGTGGTTCTGGAGTAATGCTAAGTCATGTCCCCGCTTTTATTTTGTCGCAGGCTGCGCCATACGGTAGAAGTGAAGACTGCAATATGATGATTTTGGAAAAGAAGCTTTGGGTTCGGGTGATCAGCATCACGACCAGCGCACTGTTAGGTGATAGGAGTGGGAGGGCGATTCGGGCCTCATTCCTTGACATGGGCGGCGGCCCAAGGTGCAACGACGCAAGCTAGCAAGGAAGCGGCAGATGAGAGTTGGGGGATTTTGATCGGATTTCTAAGCAGAAACATGGGATTCTTTCAACTTTCCGATGCGACCAGGTGATTTTCGGATCAGCCCCTCTCGATTTCAGCATTACCTAGGCCTGTCGTGGGGTCTCGTCCACATAGGCTAATATCTAGTGATCGACAAGCGCAATACCAATACCAGCATTTTCTGCGCTCTCCATGATAGTGGAGCATGATGGGCTTGCTGTTGGCGTGCGCTATTTGTGTGGCAGAAGCATCGGTTTTCGCAATGGGGTCAAGCGGATTGGAGGTCATAGTCGCAGCACGGGCAAGTATAAGGTAAAGCTTGGATGGGGTTCAGGACGACAAGTGATGATGCGAGGCAATTGGATGGCGCCGATGGTATGGTAACAGCTGCCCTTGGGCGTCAACGACAACGGCCATCTGATGGGGCGCATGCGCATCGCATCTGTCGGGGGCATCTGTCACGGCGCTCCCGAGGTTCCTGTCGCCATGGCTGTGAGGAATGTGACAGGGATGTGGGTGGTTAGGCATGGCGCCAACGGTGCCGCGGAGTAGCCACTCTAGTGCGTCATATTCACTGGGCGCAAATTACGTCTAGTGTTCCCTTTTAGGGGATTACAGTTTGGCGTCTGTCACAGCAACCACAACGACATGTAGTCTTCGGAAGAAGGCTGGTCGCTGTTTAGGCCAGCTGCCAGGGCGGAGGTGGAGGCGACAGCTGGTGATGCGCAGGGTATTGTTTGGCCAGGCGCAGGATCAGAGAGCCGAGCAGGCTGCCGAGGAGGAGCAGCGACGGCGGCGGGTACCAAAGCGGGCTAGCCAAGTGTCGCAGCACGGTGCGTCATCAAGATCGTAAACTTGCAGGCAAACGATGGCGTTCGGCCATGGCTACCTGGCCTGGAAGGTGATTGCAGCCCTCATCGCCGATGCAGCAGTCGCGCTACGTCACCCGGTGAACGGTCCGCCAACCAGACGTCGGCCCGCCCGAGTCAATCCCTGTCCACGTCCATTGCAATCGCTTTCCCAAGTTCCGCATGTTGCCCGAGGGCCCCAATGTTTGAATTCCCATGTTTAGCCCACCTTCCCTCTTACCTGCTTTAAACCCCTCGCTCTTCTTTCTACACTCCGGAACTTTGCTCCGATCCGACGGACATCTGCTCCACCCTTGTCGCTCCCACACCCATATAACAAACTGCTTGCTCTCAGCCACCTCAGCTTCTCACACCACCTCTCCCCACCACATCAACCTCACTCGCCTTGCAATTGCTAAAAACAAGACCTGGTTGCCCACCATGACGGATATTCAGCACCATCCCTTGTTCGACTGGGCTGGCGAGGCCTTCACTGCTATGCAGCACCCCAGCATCAACCAGCTTCAGGACAAGTGGGCGGCGGCCTTGAGCAATCCGTCCTCTGGCTCAAACTCGCAGGCCTTTGCCATTCCGCCATCTCTTCTTACCAATGGCAGCATGGAGCGATTTGGCCAAGTCACCCCGCCTGAAGAGTTGTCGCCACAACACCCTGTCCGCAACGACCGCGAAGCCTCGATCCCCGTTGACCAGCTCCGAAATGAGACATCACCCTGGTCCAAGCAAACCGCCTCTCCGCGCCAAGTGGCGGCGGCGCCTGAGGAGCCTTCCCCGAAGCGACAGCGCACTAGCCGCACCTCAACCAATCAGAGTTCCCTATCAAGTGTTGCCCTTTCACTACAAGAAGACAACGCTGACACCAACCCTCAGCCACCCAAGCGCAAGCGGGGTAGGCCCAAGTCGCAGCCTCAGATGGTTCAAGCATACACCGCTGACGGTTATCCCTTCCAAGTCTCATCCGCCCGCCAGACTCACCTCGAGAAGAACCGCGTCGCCGCCCACAAGTGCAGGCAGCGAAAGAAGGAGTACATCAACAGCCTTGAAGACCGCGCTCGCGAGTTCTCGTCCAAGAACAAGATGCTCAAGGAGAATGTTGCCGTCTTGCGTGAGGAAGTCCTCAGCCTCAAGAACGAAGTGCTGCTCCACGCCGGCTGTGGCTTCTGGGCCGTTGACGAATACCTGGCTCGTTGTGCGGGAAATCTTCTTGGCATGGAAGCTCCTCCACCGGGCATGCGTAACGCGTCATCGTCGCGCAACAACAGTATCAACCACAACACCCAATTCAACAACACCCAGCAGACACGCGAGCCTAGCATGGGTTCCCTGAGCTCTGCAGATGGCGACGACTTTGGAGGTCTAGAGCTTCTCAAGGACTTCACTGACGAAGACATGGACGACTTGGAGGCATAGGAAGCCAACTTGAACATCCTTGCGATCAAGGCTTTCCTATTATGATTCATACCACCGCTTTGGTTTTGACTAGGCCTTGATTAGGGTCAGATCAACTATGCGGTCGTTTGCTCCTTTTCTTCCAATGATTCTACGATACCCCGGGAGCTTTGCTGCACTTCGAGCTACCAAAAAACTTTTTTTTCCCCAATTTCTTCTCTTCCCTCTTGCTGCAATGACCGGTCTGGGCTGGTAATGTCCACCGCAGTGGCCACGACCTTGATGATTTGGCGTTTGAGCGACACCGTGGAACAGAAGTTCACGGTGATAAAAATGTACAGTTCAGGTACACGTATGCGATCCGAAAAAATGATTACAACATGCATGAGTTTTCAGATATTTCATCATATCAAACCAATAATTTTCAGAGTGTCGGCATACACACGGTGTGTCGCCTAATAAGGCCCAATGTACCGCCTCGATCCTACTTCGGCCCAACTCGGACCCAACGCTATGTATACCTTCGTAGCCCCCACATTCGTAGAATCATCATACACCAGAATACCAATACACAAGATTACCTTAGCTACTGTTATTCACCGTACGATCGTACAAGGCCTTCCAACACAGAGCTTTCCCCATGTTTCGTTGATGCAAGTGTCCCTATCGCAGCTCATGCTCAACCCCACTCATTTCCCAAATCTCTAGTATGCAGGGCATATATACGCATGCTCGCGGGGGTTGCTGTGTGAATCCCTCGCCTACATACTTGCGCGTCCCCACATCTCACCATGTCAAGTTTACCGATGACAGATGTGACGTGAGACTCCGCTCTTTTCATTGGACTCAGGGAAACACGTCCGATTTAGTTAAGTCGACTAAAGAAATTCAGCCGCCTTTGATGGGAGACTTGCATAGTCTATCGTTAGGCATTCAATCCATCAGCCACCCTGACTGACTACAGCTGACATAATAGTCCTTCTCCACATGTCAGCCGCTCTAAACCCCAATAAAATTGTTGAATCGTCTATTGCCAACGGGAATACAGCCCCCTTGCGCATGGAGATACATGGATTGCGGAGAGTTTATTCTTCCCCCGCGTTCTAGTCCGCCATTTGCGTCACTGCTGCTGGAAGTTTCCTCCTTGTACATATACGAGATGTAATCTGAAGCAAGCGGCCAGGCTTAACCCCATCTACATGTGATAAATAACCATGGTATCGAGCCGCGTAATCAAGAGAAAATTCCTGCACTGAACTCCACCCGCCAAAGTACATGTGTTGGGAGAGAAATGGCTGATCGCAGAAAGGCCGAGGTGTAGCCTCTAAACCTGAATCACGCTCGACCCGGCTTAGGCAAGCGTCATCATGCAAGTCATACGATAGTCGACGGGAGTGATGTAAATCGTCATGGCAGAAACGGCCCTATTCTGCATCATTCTTCTAGATTGGCAACCCCACTGCGACCAGAGGGCCTGAAGGGGCAATACGAACAATAATCACCGTCACCCATGTCAAAACTCCGAGCGATCCCCATGGCCACTACTCACTCGATCTATTCTCGATCCTCTCCGATGCAAATACAATCCTTCGACACCTGCGCCTCGTACAATCCGATTGGCCCCGGAAAGATTCGCCAAAGTAGAACCCCTGAAAACCTTCTTGCAAGCCACAACTGCAGCCAGAATAAAGTTCAGCAACGGTCCCGTCACCTCGCTCTTTAGCCACTGTAGTAGTCATCACTTCCCGTTTGCGAGTAGGGTTCGAGACACGCCTCCCACTCCCCGACTCCCAACAGCGGGGCGCAGAAAAACGTCGCCTAGTCAGTAAGCAAGACCGTGGTAGCAGATTGTAGATTGCAGATCGCGATACCGGTTTACCAGAAAAAAAGCGAGCATCCTTCGTCATAACGCATCCTCTGTAGCCAAGCAAAGGACTCGGAATAAGCGGGGAATCCAGGGGAGGGGGAACGGGGAAATAGTTACGCTCCCACACCCCCTCACCCACTAAACAACCGCCAACGCCAACGCTACAGTTGCATGAATCTAGCCTGGAACTATGCACGATCCGCCACGACATGGTCTATCAAACATTCAATCGGATGCCTCAACTTCACGACGACCACGGCCAGCCTCCTATGCAAGGCGCGCCATGTTTGCACCTTCGCGTGGAGCAAGGGAACCATATCCGGAGACCATTCCCGCGTTCCAATCATCTCTCGCGAACGGCTGAGGAACGCAAACATCAACATCTCAGGTCGTGGCATTCAAGACAGGCAATGATGTGCGCGGGTGTGGTACAGACCCATAGTGTTGGGTTTATCTTTTTCTTCGTTCACATGCAGATACGGAGATGCTTTCTGATTGTGCCAAGATAGGAATAGCCACAATAGCAGCAGCAGACGACGACAGCCTTATTCCTTTGGCAATTATGGTTCAAGCGCGTTTCCCGCTTTCTCGTAATCCCATTCCTTCGTTCGGCGTATCCTTGCAACTCATCAAGCAGAGAATTTGGAGAGTGGATTGGGAGCAGGGGGAGTGGCGGTTCTGCGATGACGGTGTTTTACTCCTCCCCCCGTTGCAGGGTCTTTGCGCAACCCACGCGCAAATGCGATGCAACACACTCCCTTGGCCATGTACTTTTCTCTTCCCCCAAAGGAGAAAACTGTATGACTCCAAAATTGGAGAGAGGAACCTTCTACCCCGCCTGTGTTTTATTGCCCTTGCCGTCTAACAACGTCAACAACCGTAGCAATACAAAATGATGAACAAACAAACACACAACCCCCGCTTACCCACCAGCTGGTTCTGTGGTAGCACATAGTCCAATCCCTTAACTCCCCCCTCACATAACCCCGCACGCATGCACGCACAAAAGTCTACCATGTACCACTTTCCAATTCAAATAGCTCAACCACACAATGCAGTCTGCCAAGACGACCCAAAACAGTAATGTTTTGGTGAAGAAAAAGTGTCGATGTCTGTAAAAGGGGCTGCCCTGTACTCAATGGACAGGCATGCACTGTTTTGCTTTTTGAGAAGACCGAACGGGTGCTTATCTTACCCGTGGGTTGTACCATGTTTTCCTTGCAGACCGGGGTAGGGTGACAAGATAGCCACAGGAGGATCCATGCTTAGCTGGAAAAGAGGGTGACAAACATTGGAAAGCTGAAATGACGAGAAAGAAAAAGAAGAGACGATGATGTTCGTGAAAGGGTATATATTTTCTTCAAAAGGAGCTAGATAGTTTTGTCCACTGTGTCTACTGTGAGATGGGCGTCTTGAAGACGAGCGCAACATAGTCATCACCAGCCGTGACGACCGCCTCGCCATTTCCTTGCACAAAGGCCATGATGCCTCCTCCCTCGCCGCCACCTCGGTGTCCCTTCCACTCGCCGACGAGGCCTTTGCCGGCCGCAGCTGTTCCGCCCCGTGTATCCCACCGCTTCAGAACACCATCGTAACCAGCGCTTGTCAGTAACCAACCGCCTGGGCCTTCTCTCGCGACAAAGTCGAGCTTGACAACAGCCTGTGGTGACTCTTCGTCTGCGTGTGCATCGTCTATCCGTCTTCGGACGGCGAAGCGATGTGCGGTGTCGAAGAGGGTGATGGAGCCGTCAACGTTGCCGGCCGCCATGAGGGTAAGGGGTAAGGAGGAGAAGCTGAGGCATTCAACGTTGTCGCTTCCTGCCTGCAGACTTGCTAGGATCTGTCCAGCTTGACCAGCTGAAGATGCGCCTCCCTTTGCACCGGCTTGCTTTCCACCACCAGCTTTGTTCTTTGCGCCTCCACCACTCGAGGATGTCGATGCTTGTGCAGGTGCAGTGAGAGAGAGACGGGGCAGACCGACGATGCGAATTTGGCCTTCTGGGCCACCGACTGCAATAAAGGCACCTGATGGTGGGATACCGACAGAGTATAGTCCACCTTCGACGCGGAAACGCTCATCATGACCCGTAAGGCCAACGACGGCTTGTGAATCAGTTGTCGCCGTAAGGCCCTGGGATGCTGCGTCGCCGAAAACGTCCCAGACGTACAGACTTGAGTCTTCGGAAATGGTAGCCAACAGCGAACCGTCGGGCGTCCATATACCGGCTGTACAGGTCTCAGTGTGAAGGTAGTATGCCTGTAGGACCTGCAGTTCGTTGCCCTTTTCTGTATTGATCTGGTAAACCCACACTGAGCCATCGTTTGCGCCGAGTGCGACGACATTGGGGTGATCAGGCGACGGGTTAGAGGCGATCCAGTTGATCTCCTCTACCTCTTGTGCCTCTGCCAAAAACTTCCACTTCTTGCCATCGGGCACGCCCTGCCAGACGCGTAGTTTGCCGTCCAAACCAGCTGTTGCGACAAATTGGCCCTTTGGCTGAGTGAAAGTGATGGCATTCACAGAGTCTTCGTGCCCGTCTAGTGTGAATATACTCTTCAGTCCCGCGCGCTCGGTGGGTTGTCCGTCACTGCTCGGTTGCGCCGCGGCTGCTGCTGAAACATCAACGACATAACCGACGTCGTCACCACCTCCCGTCGCGATAATTTCTTGGTGAACTGGATGCTGCGCTATGCAAAAGATGCTGCTCTTGTGCTCGTCGAAATGCGCAACCGAGTCGTTTTGCAGGTTGATTTCCATCTCCATCTCCTGACCGCCTTCGTCGCCCTCGTCGTCTGAGTCCATTGGCACGTCGCCATCGTCCTCTACAATCTCGTCTGCTTCCTCGGCGTCTAGTGTGTTGTCCACATCATGCACATCGATGTCGTCTTCGTCGTGCTGGGGCTGGTTCGAAGTGGGGTTGGGAATGGCCATCTTGTGCGCGTTTGGGATTTGATTCGCGTAGTGGGTGGTATATGGAGAAAAGTGTGAAAGATACGATCTGCTGCCCGCGCGATCGTTTATGAGTCTCTGCTGTGCTTAGAAATGCCAAACTAGAACTTCGACGAGGAACTTTTTTGTTCGGGACCCTGTCGGAGGGGCACAGCGCCGACCCCACACACACGTCATTTGTAATCCACGCTGGAACACGAGAGTATCATCTCTTTACATGGAAGCTTCCATTTCGGTCGTTTCATTACATGACTAATCTCTGGATGCTACTTGTAGTTGAACCATAAATCATTGTATGCAGAAGCTTGTCAATTCTCATACTTTACCACGTGACTCTTCGATATCTATAGCTTTGCCTTCACCTCATCCTTGACAACAAGTCCGAACTTGCCACTCTTCTCCTTGTCACGCAGGATTCTTCTCAGAATCTTACCTGACGGACTCTTCGGTATCTCATTGATAAACTCCACTTCCTTGACCCACTTGTATCTAACCTTCTTCTCCTTGACATACGCAATAATCTCCTTGCCCAAAGACGTACTCTCCTGCAAACCAGGCTTGACCACAACGTAAGCCTTGGGTAGCTCTCCAGAGTAATCGTCTTTAACACTCATAACAGCCACATCTTCGACCTTTGGATGCCCTAGAAGCAAGTCTTCCAGTTCGGCTGGCGCAACACCAATCCCTTTGACTTTGATAAGCTCCTTGATGCGGTCGGTGATGTGGATCATGTTGTCTTCGTCGATGGAGCCGCGGTCGCCAGTGTGAAGGAAGCCCTCTGCGTCAAAGGTTTCTGATGTAGCCTTCTCGTTATTAAGGTATCCCATCACAACTTGTGGTCCGCGAGCGAGCACTTCGCCATCTTCACCAACATCGCCTTCAGTACCATCGTCTTTGATGATTTTGACCTCAGTGGAAGCTACAATGGCACCACCAGAATGGGCGTATTTGTAGGAGTACTTTTCTGGTGGATGCGCAGTGATGCAAGAACTCGACTCCGTCATCCCATACCCCTGTTTGAAACCAGTATGCGGAAACTTCTTCTGGAGCTGCTGAAGAATCTCTTCAGACAATGGAGCCGCGCCAGAGGAAAATCGTTCGATGTGGCTGAGATCGTACTTGTCGACTAACGGGTCGCGCACGAGTCTGATGATAATTGGAGGAACCAAGAGTAACTCAGTGAGCTTGTATTCGACAACGGCGTTTAGCATCTTCTCCATTGAGAACTGCGGGAGCATGACGACTTCGGCGTTGAGCAGAATTGGAAGATGCATTTGATGGATCAGGCCAGTAATGTGGAACAGTGGTAGCACAGCCATTACCTTCTTCAGCGTTTTTGGCGTGATCTGCTGTACCTGAAGGCATTGCGCTATAACGTTCTGATGGCTTATCATGACAGCTTTCGGTAGTCCAGTCGTGCCTGAGGAAAAGGAAAGAAAGGCGCAGACATCCTTGTTGGTTTTGCCTGGTGGAAGCTTGAAGGCAGGTGACTGCCCGGGCTCGCCATATGACTCGCCCATGCGGATCAAATCTTGTACTGTGGTGTAGCCTGGTAGTTCGCCCTCGAGCAAAAACACGTTGGACTGTGGCAACCCAGCAGCTTTTGCGCTTGCCGCCGCAATTTCCATGCTTCCAGGTGTAGTCATTAAAAACTTTGCATCCGCCGTCTTGAGCGCAAAAGTCATCTCTTCAACATTGTACGCTGGACTCGCACCGCTGATTTTCGCTCCCGCACGTAGGCCCGCAAACATGGCTACCGGGTACCATACTGTGTTTTGGCTAAACAGCGCAACAGTTTCTCCCTCTTTGAGCCCATACTTCTTGACTAAGGCGGTGGAAATGAATGTGGAGTATTTCTTTACATCGGCCCAATCCACACGCTCTTTTGTAAGGGCATTTTGAAAACCCGCAAGCTCGTTTGCTGGATTTCTATTGATGGGTGAGTAAAGTGAGTCGAAAAGCCAATCCCAGTCCGTGAGGTCGGTTGGTACTATGGTGGTCAGCTACACCTCTTTCAGCTGCGTAAGAGGGAGACGAACAGTCAATGGGTGGTTGTCGCGACTTGAAAATAACCATCTTGAAGCCAATGCGCCAATTGCTCGGATGTGGTTATCCGACTGTACCACCTACAAGATGAAGTTGAGATTGAGATGAAGTTGATTCACAATCAACAGTGCAAAACGCGAGGATATGATGTAGAAAAGGATTGATCGTCAAAAGAAGCGGCACCGCAAGTACTATGAAGCATGCGCTAACGTCCTTCCTCGGCGCGCCCATCTCCATGTTAATCGGATTCGCTATACTCGGTAGATCTTGGGGCGGGGAAGCAATGGCAAGGCGGGGTTGACAGAGCTAACTACCGAGCTCTCCAAAATAGACAAGATCGCCACGCCTTCTAACGTCTTTTTCTGGATAACATCTAGACGTTTGAACAGGGGTATGTAAGAGCCGCTTCTTTATCACAAGGTAGATCGATTCATAGAAAGAGTTTATATATCACCGTGAAGTTGTTCAGGAATCCTAGGTAATGGAAGTCCAGACAGCAATCGCGGAGCATCGCATGTCTCACCAAGACAAGATACCAAAAGACGAACAAACCAACATGTCCGACTCCGAAAACCCCCCCAAAGACACAATTCCTCCCCTCCCTTCCAATAAAGACCTACGTATAACCCTCATCGGCACCGGCACAATCGGCCTCTCCTTCGCCGCCTTCCACCTCACCCACCTCCCCTCCCCCTCACAACTAACAATCTACGACGTGCGCCCAAACCTCTCCACCTACATATCCAATACCCTCCCGCAATACCTTCCCCCTTCCGTCCCCGCCTCCACCATCTCCTCCATCTACATCGCCACCACCCTCCCCGCCGCCGTCCAAAACGCACACATAATCCAAGAATCCGGGCCAGAAAACCTCGCCTTCAAAAGCAAATTATGGGCTGAAATCGAAGAACACGCGCTAAAAGATGCGTTGTTATGGAGTTCTACATCCGGTATCCTCGCCTCGGCGCAAGCGAAGGATATGGTTGATAAGTCGCGGGTGCTTGTTGTTCATCCGTATAATCCACCGCATGTGATGCCGCTGCTCGAACTTGTTCCTTCGCCTCATACTTCTGCGCAGGTTATCCAGCGAACGCGCGCGTTTTGGGAAGCCTGTGGTAGAGTCCCTATTCATCTCAAAAAGGAAACTACGGGGTTCGTGGCGAATCGTTTGGCGTTTGCACTGCTGCGCGAGGCGATTCATCTGGTCGATGAGGGCGTTGTAGATGTGCGTGAGCTGGATGCTATTGTGGAGAGTAGTATGGGGCCGAGGTGGGCGGTGGCGGGGCCGTTTAAGAGTTATCATGCTGGAGGTGGGGAGGGTGGTTTAGAGGGCTTTTTCAAGAATATTGGGGGTACGGTGCAGGAGTGTTGGGCGGATACTGGGAAAGTTGAGGTTGGGGCTGGGTGGGAGGAGGAAGTTTTTAGACAGGCGAAGGAGGCGTATGGGAGGGTTGATGTGGGGGAGAGGGATAGGGTTACGAGGAGGGTGTTGGAAGTTCTGAGAGAAGAAAAGGAGGGTAAAGAGCATAGTCAAGCATAGTAATTGAATAGTTGGGATGGGTTGTATACCTGATATCATTAAATCGTTTGCGATACTATGTAATTCCAACTGACCGACCGCCTATATCCAAAGATAAATACACTGGATGGTTCTACACAATAAGATACAAACTAGTGATAACACTAGGTCCAATAAACATACCAAACCAGAACAAAATATTCCCCAGGGTATCTCTACCCCTCATGAACTTGGTCTTACTAAACGCCGCCAGCGGGAGTTGCAAGAGCTGAAACACAAACAAGTAGCCTCTAACCTTCTTGAATAGACAAAACATGAGAATCTCATGCACCACCGCGCTGAGAAAGAAGGTGAAGAACGTCGCCTGCATCTTAGACAGGTGAAAAAATGATATTGACGAATGGTAGACGTGGCGCAGCAGGAAGTTGTGTACAGGGCGGTTCCAGTCGCGCGCGTATTGATCAAACGATACGCTGTTCCACCAGGCGCCGTAGAAACCGCGGTCGCCAAAGCGCGTGACTTCGGCAAGCACATTGAGAAGACACTCCCAGATGACGTACCAGCTGAGTAGCTGTTCGAGAAGCATCGGGAATAGCATATCGGAAACTGTTAAGCAGAGTTGTTAGTCAAGCATTCGGTTGAGGGAGAGGAGTAATTCTTACCAACCCATGGGAATTCTTTCCATCGCATTTCAAGGGACATGCCAGCATCCCTTTGCCTCACAGTTTCTACAACGACTGGGTAGATGTACGCTTGCGAGATGATGATCATGACCCAGATAACTCCCAAAGTAGCGACCGACTTTTCGGCAACATACCACCAATTGACTCGTTCTTGGCGAGGGTATTCCTGGTCGTAGACGAGTGTAGGGAGACATGTCCATTCAATAAAATTGGCCATTGTCAGGTTGTTGGGGTAGACGTTATCTGTTGTCGTGCATTTTCCGCGGAGCTCTTCGTCGAGAATGGTGATTTCGGTGTTCAAGACACGTCGGAAGGCGTCAATTTGTTCTTCGTCAAGTGGCTTTCCGGCCTCGATGGCTTGGCCGATAGAGGCAATCTCGGACTTTTCTTTCGAGAGGTTGGTTGAATACTTGGGGCCTGAGCTTACTCGTCGGGTCAAGTCGCCCTCGTTGGGATTGTCGATACCAGTTGCAGTCAGCGTTTCGGCGGTGGGCGATGCCTGGTCGGTCATTTCTTGCGCACTGGTAGCATCTAGCTGATCCAATTTGCTTTTCAGTATATTCCTTCTCCTATACACTTGTGATACTACTAACAGTCAGTTCGATTCGTCATCGTAGGTGCTGGGATCTTACAGTAGCCATTGTAAAATGAATAGGCATGCTGCTTCATCAACAAAACGAAGACATGCAAGACGATAAATACAGTATGAGTCCAAGGCCAATGTCGCCAAAACGTGACCCAAATGATGATCAGTGTAAAGAAGGTTTGCCATAGAGATTGTATCAGCCAGCCTGAACCATTCCATGTCAAGTAATCCTTAGCGATGGCTTTGTGCAGAAAAAAGCCGAAGCTGCTGGCCGCACACATTGCAACATCCGTGGTCAACATGACAAAGAGATCTCTGTCAACCATCAAGTGCAGGATCTCAGCATCTCCAAAGATGGAGCCTTTGGTCCGGTAGTTTCCTGCTGCAACTCGTGTAAGGATGAAGCCCATGGCGATCCAGAAGAGCGTGAAAAAGCCACGAAAAGGAGAGTGAGCAGCAGATGAATTCTGGCGGTCGAAAGTCGTAAACTGCTGCGTGAAGATCAAGTCTCTTGGCTTATTCTTGATTTTCTCGTTTCCCAGGAGCTTCTCGGCCTCTTGCCGAATGCCAGATTGCAGCGCATCCTGAAAGACTGGATCTTTAGATGTGAAAACGTACTCTCCTCTCTTTCCTGACTGCTCGAGGACAATTTGAATGCTCTTTCTACGGTCTTCAGCTGGAACATCCAACTGTGTTTCTGAGCCGCTATCTTCGGATGGTATAGCTGTCGTGCTCCGGCTCGGCGAATCTTCCACGTGTTCCTTTTCCTGGGGCTTCAGTGCAGTTGCACCGTCTACATCCAGGGACCCCGGCGAAGCATGTGGTGTCCAGGTTTCTTGCGTGGTTAGTGGCGGTCGCGTCGAGAGCCCCTGGAGCGCGTGTGACAAGACCGACTTTTCGACGTCCAATGACGTCAGCTCGGTCTTTTCAGTCTGCAGCTCAGGGCGGGTGTCGCATGCCATGGTCGGTATTTGCAAGCGCGGATGATGTCGGTCTGGACGGTTGGCTTATGCAGCGAACTGGTGGCGTTGGTGGGCGCCTTGAACGTCTTACTTAACTAACGATGACAACGGAAGTATCGGAACTCACGGCCTCTAAATACGCAGATGACTTGTGCATGTTCGGGCCTTATGAGCCGTGAAGATATAGTCAGCACACACATCCGGTCGGCATCCGGGAGAGCCGACACGCCTCGATCGAGCCGACATATCTTTTGCTTGCCCTGGCCGGTCCAGGATGGGACGCAGGGCGCGATGCGATTTCCGTAGGGTTGCGGAGGAGAAGGACCCCCGGCTTGGCACCATTCACAGCGCAGCAACGCCTTTCGCAGTATCCCTGTGCCGATCGCTCCGTCACATGTAGGGTCCGCTGAGACTTTGGAGATAACAGGAATTCTGTCGTGGCACGCCGGCACTCAGCTACCACAGCAGCAGACCTACCCTGATCGTCCGAAACGCTGCACATGTCGTTTCTCAGACGTCGCTTTGGCGGCGGAGGCAGCGGAGGTGACGATACCACGCCCGACCTCTCCCGCGAACCTTCGCCCGGACCGGACGGAAAACGTCCGCCCAATGTGAGGCTGATTACGACTGAGCAACTGCAGACGCTCAAGCAAAAGGGAAAGCACAAGAAGAGGAGAAATGTGTGGGTGTTTGGGCTGGGTGGCCTGTTTGGCCTGCTGCTCGCGGGCTTCTTCGCCAGCAGTAATGATATGATCGATCTGACTGGTCTGGAGAACATGAATCTGGAGAGCATTATGGAGGCTCTGCCCGATAACTTCGTTAAGAGCGCACAGCAATTGCAGGTATGCTACCTATGGCTACAGCGCTGGCAATGCGCACCTAGAAAAAGAAAGTAGAGGAATGAGGGCTGACGTCGCCAACTCTGTAGAAAACAGAACGAGACGCCGTAAACTATGATTCCTTCGCCGTCGGTCTACATGCCCAGAAACAGGGTATCAAGGCCAAACACCCCGTCATCATGATCCCCGGCGTCATCTCCACAGGTCTCGAGTCCTGGGGCACCGAAGAACTGTCGCGACCATACTTCCGCAAGCGGCTATGGGGTTCCTGGACCATGATGCGCGCCTTGGTGCTTGACAAGGTCCAATGGAAGCGACACATCATGCTTGACAAGGACACTGGTCTTGATCCACCTGGCGTCAAGTTGAGAGCGGCGCAAGGATTCGACGCAGCAGACTTCTTCATAACGGGCTACTGGATATGGAACAAGATTCTTGAGAACCTCGCTACCATAGGCTACGATCCCGGAAACGCCTTCACAGCGGCCTACGACTGGCGCATGTCGTACATGAACTACGAGATTCGCGACCAATACTTTACCCGTCTCAAGTCGCATATCGAAGTCGCCGTTCGCGTTTCGGATAAGAAAGTCGTCCTCCTCTCGCACTCCATGGGCTCACAAGTGCTATACTACTTCCTTCACTGGGTGGAAGCAGAGGGATACGGCAATGGCGGTTCAAGCTGGGTGGAAGACCATGTGGAGAGTTGGATCAACATCTCAGGCTGCATGCTCGGTGCATTGAAAGACATGCCCGCCGTTTTGTCTGGCGAGATGAAAGATACTGCTCAACTCAACGCCTTTGCGGTCTACGGTCTCGAGCGTTTCCTTAGTCGGTACGAGCGCGCTGAGATATTCCGCGCCATGCCAGGTCTCTCCTCTATGCTCCCTATGGGCGGAAACGCCGTCTGGGGCGACGAGAACGGCGCCCCTGATGACCTACCAGGACAAAACATCACCTTTGGCCCCTTCATCCGCTTCCGCAATTCAAACTCGACGCTTACGCAGAAGAACGTTACCGTCGAAGAGAGCCTGCCCTTCCTATTCCGAAACACCGAGCCCTGGTTCAAGAAAATGATACAAACCTCCTACTCCCACGGCGTAGCGCACACAACCAAGCAAGTCGAAGACAACCAACTCATTCCCGCCAAGTGGGCAAACCCGCTAGAGTCGCGTCTCCCGCTGGCTCCCAGTCTAAAGATCTACTGCTTCTACGGCATCGGCAAGGATACAGAACGTGCGTATTACTACCGCTCAGACGATGATCCCCTCAGCGGCTTAAACGTCACCCTCGACACAATGTACACCCAAGGAAATGTCGACCACGGCGTCGTTATGGGCGAAGGCGATGGTACCGTCAACCTCCTCAGCTCAGGCTACATGTGCGCAAAAGGCTGGAAAATGAAGCGTTACAATCCCGCCGGCGTGAAAGTGACTACGTTTGAGATGAAACATGAACCTGATAGGTTCAGTCCTAGGGGCGGTCCTAATACTGGTATGTCCTTCCTTCTCCTTTTAATTCTCCTCTAGCCATCTAGCAGCCACATGCGTGCATAGATCATGTCATACTAAAACCGACCCAGCGGATCACGTAGACATCCTCGGCCGCATGTCCCTCAACGACCTCATCTTGCAAGTCGCCGGCGGTAGAGGCGAGTTGATCCAAGAAACAATCCACTCCAACATCCGCGAGTATGCCGAGAAAGTCAAGATATACGAGGAAGAAGAGTGATTCACTGGTAGTAGCAGGTTGGAACACCGCTGCTCGGAACACCCTAGACACACACACGAAAACTATTGTTAGCAGCGGCGCTTGCAGAATGGACACGCATAAATACACGTATACCTATGATAAACGAGACGGGTTTGGGCTTTTTCGGTGGCTTAGGAATATCTTTTTTGGGAAGGGTGGAATGATACCATAGACCAACGGGGGTTGCTGACTGGCTTTGCTTAACCTTCTCTCATCTTCTCATCCTCAAGATCAACCGTCTTCTACAGCAACATCACCTCGGTGACATAATATAGATAGAATCCGCGAATGAACAAATTATAACTCGTTATCGTATTTCCGGTTCTTTCGCTGTGTCTGACAAAGCTGCATACACTTCTTCTTCTCCTCCACCAAGCGCCGGCCCACTTTTCCCTTCTTTTCCTGTAAGAGTTGTCCCGACCCAACGCTGATAAAGCTACCAATCGCTAAGCATGCACCTGATTCCCGCCATACTACCAATTTCCTCAATCTACCTTCCTCAACCACACCTCAACCAACAAGCCGCAACCCACTAGCCGGCGCACCAATCTGCGTGATGCCATCGATCCTGCACACCGTGCCCTTGTATCTTGCGTGGTACTTGGCACCGCTATACGGACTCGTAACCGATGGCATGCCGCTGTAGATGGGTGTGTAGCTGGCAGCGCAAATGTCAAAGTCGGCGAATTGGTCAAAGTCGATCTCAATAACGTCGGACGGGTTCCTCTCGGCAATAGTCTTGACGCGCTTGGCCTGCTCCTTCATTTTTGCGTTGCCAGTGCGATCGAGGAGAGCGTTGGCGAAGTTAAGAGCCGTGTTGAGCTGCTTGTTCTTTTGGGCAAATGTCATGGCCGCTGAAAGCGGGATCGAGTTGTGAGGGCCTTCCAGCTCAGGAACGGTGAAGTAGGCAGAGAGTTCGAGGGCGCGCTTCTTGTCCGCGTCAGATAGACCAGAAATGTCCGTGGCGCCATTTAGAAGTTTGCGGCGCTCAAGCTCGATAGACATTGCCAATATGTATTGAGTAGCAGTATTGATCGCCTTCTTAGCCTGGATGACATGTTAGTGATACGTCGACGGAATGGCATCTAGAGCTTACATCAGACAATTCCGCCTGCGAGGAGACGACGTTGACCATGAGAAGCTGCAATAACTTCTTGAGAGCGGCAACACCATCCTCCAACTTGTTCTTGAGCAGCCACTGCTTGCCAGCCGCTAGGTCGGTGGCGAGGATAGACTCCAAGTCGCGCGGTATAATCGGCAGAATCTTGCGTGAGTCGGTTTCATCCACTGTTCTCCGGACATAGTTGACCAACGATGGCATGTTTGGTGTGGCCGGTAGGAATGTTCGCGTCGCTTGATAGATTTCTTGGAAGCGTTCCTCGAGAGGCGCGAAGTTGACAGCACCAACTTGCCGGTTCAGTAACTGCATGGCAGTATCAAATGAGCCTGCAGCGACGTGATCTGCCGCCAAGGGTGAGTTACGTGCCCAGAGATCGGCTTCGCTGCTACCAGCACCGGCTTCGGCTCCCTCAACTTCAACGAAATCATCCTCGGCTTCTACATCACCATCGTCGCCCATATCCCATCCGCCAACGTCGTCTTCCTCGTCGCCACCGAGATCAGCTACAGCATGGTTGGCTTCTGGCTCGCCCATTAGGTCTTCATCGCCGTAGCCATTAGCTGCTGGTTCCTCGGACCCAACGCCCTCAACCTCTCCCTGGAGAGCCTTCTCAAATACAGTTGAAGAAGCTGCACGTGTTGGCCAATTCGCCTTGTGGGTCGGTACAATGGGCTTAGGGGGTGCGAGAGGACTACCTATGGAGGGCAGGTTGATTTGTTCTTCAGAAACACCGGCAGCTTCCAGGATCGACTGAGCTTGTTCATCGAGTCCATGGGCTTTGGCAGTGGCGTAGGCGAGTGGGTACAAATCAAGCTCCTGGAACATCTCTATCCGGTTCTGCACATCACCTAAGTAGAGTGCGTTCTGGAATCGAGCCGTCATGTCTCCGCGGTGCTCCGCGATCTTAGCCATACGCTTCAACTTGTCCTGATCACCTGTTGTGAGATACAAGAAAGACAGCTTGTCGAAGTTCCGAAGCTTCTGGTAGGTCATTTCCACTGTTTGGTGGTTACCATGTGCAAGCGCCTCCGTACTCAGTCGCTGCCAGAGCTTTGGTCGGTCAAGCTGCTTGGCCATCTCAACAGCAACCTCGAGGTTACCGCATTCAATAGCCAGCTCGAACCGCGTCTGAGGATCCTGGACGAATTGAAGAGCAATCTCGGGATATCCTTTCTTCTGAAGATAAGAAATGATGCTCTGTCCAACCAAGCTCGAAGTCTTGATTATGTTCAGCATCTCATCGTAGTTGCGCTTAACAAGAGCCAGCTTGAATCGGTATTCAGTGGGATCGATTTGGAGAATCTTCGGCTTCGCTGCGCGGTCCAAGCAGTATACGTTGCGGCCCTTGACCCTCACAAGGTAAACAGTTTGCTCGAGAGTCCTAACGATTCCGTTGTCGCCGTTCATCAAGCTGTACTTGATGTGGTTGAGGGTTGAGTAAAGCAGAACGCCGGTATCGTCAAAGACTGCGCTCTTGATGCGGATAGTCTCGTGTAAAGTACTGACCTGCTCGAGGCTCTTTGTCGCAATAGTGACGTTGTGTTTACTCAGGAGCGCGACATGTAATCCATCTGATGACCACACAACATATTTGACGCCGTTGATGCTCAACTCTGCCAGATTCTTCTTGGCCTGGATATCATATAGCACAACGGTGGTAGGTGTAATCAAAAGCAGGTTGCCAGTACCACCGAAGTAGATATCGGTGGTTCCAGTGGGAGGCTTGATAGTCTTCGTAGTGGAGTTGCTGAGGTCCTTGATATCGATCTGCTGGTTGGACTGATTGAAGACTGCAAATCGGTTCCTAGCGACGAATACAGCGGAGTTACCCGATCCACGTTTGGTGTCCGTTGGTTCTACCGCACCAGAAGCGTCGCGTGGAAGGTTAATCAGCTCATATGTTCCGCCGTCAGCCGGGCTCGTAACGAGAATGGATCTCTCTGCCGGGTTGTATGATAGTGTTCGTGGAGGTACCCAAGCGCTTCCCAACTTCTTCAAAGACAGCATAGACGGAGCCTCAATGTTCTTCTGGAAGTCGTACGACCGTACGTGCTTTTCTTTGTTGATATAGAATAGGTTGTTCTGGTAGACGGCAGATGCGGGTCGCTCGCGCTCCAGCTTGAATACCATGACTCCGTTGTCGTGACCAGCGGCGAAGAGGTTGATTTCGGGATGCGCTGCGATTGTCCAGAACCGGTCATTCTCACGCTTGAAAGACTGGACAGCGGTTCGGCGATTGAGATCCCAAACACGGATGGTTTCCGCAAGTTGTTAGCTATTGCCTGACATACACTGGCTGGAAGACTTACTGTCCTCTCCCACAGAGAGTATCAAATCCTGGTGCGGGTGGAACAGACATGCCGACGCGTTCTGGAAGTGACCGCGACATGTGTCCACCTCCCAAGCCTTTGTCTCTGACATTCTCCACAGTTTCACGAGGCGGTCATCGCCGGCGGAGACGATCAATGGCAGTGTGGGATGGAATGCGACAAAGTTCACACCACGGTCGTGTCCCTCAAGAACAAATTTGACCACGGCATCCGTGTTTCCGAACATGTCTGCCTGGTTCTGGTTGGCGCGTGCCATCTGATCCTCAAACGACATTGCTTGTGGCGCCGAGTGCTTCTTTCGTAGGCCAGATATGTCCCAAACGCGAACCGACTGGTCGAGTGAGGCGGAAACCACGAGGTCCTCTTTCGGATGGAACTAAAATATGTTAGCAGCGACCTCGACCTCTGGAAAAGGATTTACGTACTGATGCTGCCATCACGTAGTGATTATGGCCCGTCATGGTACAGATAAGTGACCTGTTCTGCCAATTCCATATGCGGATGGTTTGATCATCCGAGCAACTCAATATCCAAGGTAGCTCGTGATGAAAGTAGGCCGTGCGGACATAATCCAGATGGCCATTGAGTGTGAAGAGGCATCGCCGAGTCTGGTAAGACCAGACCTTGATCTTATAGTCGTCGCCGCCGGATACGAATAGAGGTTGAGTTTTGTGGAAGTCCACCGCGCGAACCTGGGCCAATTCCGTTAGCGATTATCCCCAACTAGGTGGGCGCGACTGTAATATTACCGGACCATCGTGCTCTTCAAAGCGATCTATCAATGTGCCCATGCGGTAGTCCCATAGTTGGATAGTCGAAGAGTGCAGCGACACAAGGATCCATGGTCTGAAGGCGGTCAGCGAGGGAAGGAGCAACAACCGGAAGAGTGTAGGTACCTCTTGGGATGGAAAGCTATGCCTTTGGCTCGTGAACTCTTGCTCTCAAACTACCCGCTGTTAGCTGGTGGTGGAGGCGCATTGCTAGGCAGGTGCTTGCCTTGGTCAACATGGAGGGAGACGACGCCATTGCGGAATTGAGGACGAAGCCGCAGCTTCACAATCGTCTAGCGTGGCCTCAATACTAGAACAGCGCAGGCAGAAATATCCGGGCGAAGGTAGGGAGGCACGAAACACGGTGTTGACTACTAACTGTCTGCGGTACTGCTGCTCTGTCCAATGTTCGATATGCCACGCAACATCAATTCGGATTAAGCTCAGGGCACGCCTATCCACATCGGGCCGCTAGCGTCAACTCCCCACTATGATCACGTGAGAACGACGAGACATCAACTCCTCCATAACACCTGGTACCTATTCCAGGGCGGACGACGCCAATGTTTCACTTCAGAAACCTCGCATTTTCCCGCAAACATTGTCGCCAACAGAGCCTCCTGCTCCTCCGAGGCCGCATGAGTTGAAATTTGCCTCCGCTGCGTGGGCTCGGCTGCCCCGGTCTGGCGTGCTGCAACGATGCCCCGCAGGAGTCACCAATGCGACTCCGTGCCAGCTGGCCGTCGTAGTGCCAACACTACCCTACCCGCCCTGTGCAGGATAATTTTGAGCGCCGTCCCTATTGGGCAACTGTCCAGCCTGACGCAAGGTAGATTGCCCGAGTCTTTGTCGCGACTAATCGTTCGCGACCACATATCGTAGCCAGCATCGGAGTCATGGAGGGAACGCGATGCTGCACATGGAAAGGCAGCAACGCTGCAGACCCGCTCCGTGGCCGGACAGCTCATTGCTGAAACGCAGGTGATAATTGGCGACTGTCCCGCGCACATTTCTCACTTTGCAGGGAATTCATACCTCCTCCAGTACTCTTCTTCTCCTTCCACATCCCTATTCGATCACCACATACGCATTGCACCCGAACTGACTGCGCTTGGTGGCTTTGACCGATCTGCAAGCTACATTTCCTGCATTGCTGCCTATAGTACTCCAATTCCACCTGCACGATAAGCCAAGGCGTTGCAGGGTCCGACTTGTTAAAACTCTCCACCCTTCCGCTCGAGCTCGCCGCTCAGATATCCCAGTAAAACACTCTCGGGCCACCTCCAGAATGATACAGTCGACGCAACTCTTCTTCCGCATTTCAAAGATTAGACACGTCCGTCGGACTTTGATTCCCTGAGATATCGAGATATCAGCACCACATTACAGAGAGGGCCACTGATACGTACGCCTTCGCAATTGGCTGCAACCAAGCCTGACGCACTTCCCCCGTAAAATCACCACAACACCCTCCTGGCTATGGCAACGCACCCCCAGTCGCCGGTCGACGTTGTCATCGACCACCTGCAGTCACCGCCCATGACGCCCACTTCTCGCACACGCACTTTCTGCCCGCCGCAAACACACCAGACCTCACCCGTATACAAGCGCATGGGTAGGTTCGTACAGACACCGCCATTGGAGTTCATCGAACCAACTGGATACAACCACCACTTTAACTTCACCCGCCCACAATCATGCGAGCCAATTTCGCATCCATCGTCAGATTCGGAGCGAGCGTACGCAGCCACAACTCGTCAGGGGACTGAGTCCGTGACCGAATCCGAGTGTGATTCCGATGATGAAAACGAGTCCGGCGAAGAAAGCGAACAAGAAGATAAGAGGCCTGTACGCCGGGTAGAAAGAGCTCAGTTCATACTCGAAGAACTGGACAGCGACCCAGGCTACGATTGCGATGTAGAGATCCTACGGCCAGACCATTGCGAGGATGCAAAAAGTGACAAGAGTGGCGCAAAGGCAGAAGTGCTAGCCAGAATGAACGAGTTGCAACTAGAAGAAGACTCTTCCGAGGACGAGGAAAGAGCGCGTATATACCTACGAAAGAAGAAGCGATGGAGTGCAGGAATCTTCAAGCGCAGCCATAGCCAAAGTGTTGAAGGTGACAGCAGCTACTCCGACAACGATCCTTTGGACGATATTGACCAAAATGCTCGACGACTTCGACGCCGCGTGCGTGGCCCGAGAAGAGAGTCACTCATCTTTGAGGATCGAGGCTTCTCCAACACCAACAACATTGCGGAAGTGGAGGAGCCTGACGAAGGAATTGTGTTGCACTCGAAAGGCCCGCCGTCCATCCCTAGCGATGATGCCTTCACTCTCGACGAGCTGCCGTTCTGGAGAGGACATGATGACATGGACATTGAGTACGAGTCGGAATAGACGCGTATATTGTTCTTAAGACGCGTCCTGTCTCAATTTGGGTTTGCATAATCTTTGTTAATGGCGTTCATCAGCGAGGGTTTTTGTAATTATGTTGTTTGTTTTAGCATGGCGTGTCTTGGATTGTTAATCGATCTGTTTTTACACTCATATTGCTCAGCGTCTAACGAAACGTAACATGATCACTCTATTGGTGAACCTGATCGTCTGCGCGTCCAAAACATGCTGGCGCTTGTTTGTTCAAGGGCGGTAATTTCGTGCTGGCTTTCAGGGCTATTTTTGGAGTCTCTTCGCTAAGCAGAAGGCCCAGGCGTCATCAGCATCTCAACGCTCACTACCAAGCACGCGCTACCAACTCCACATGGTGCCAACATAGGTTGCGGAAGGACAGGCCTCCGCCGCGGATGGTTGTTATCCGCATCTTGCGCCTCGCTGATAGCCCACGTGCCCACCAAACAGTCTGACCTTCGTGCAAGACGAACATCCCGAGAAACTTATGTCATTCAGGTAAGCAAGCATCGACAGGTTATCGCGGGCAAACGAAATTCGGGCTATTCGTTTGAGTATCATCAGCATATGCAAGAAGAAACCAGTAATTACCGTCAGTTGAACGGCCTGTGTTCTTCCCAGGAGTGTTGAGTCACACAGCCACCCACGACGCCTACCGTGGGGCTGGAGGCCTGGAACAAAGACGCGATTTTGGTCATTGTGTATTCTCAGCTCTGCGACATCTAATCAGAGAGCATCCTTTGCCAAAATAAGAATAATGTTAGTCGGCAGCAGACTAGGATTGTACAGCCATGATCGGATCGTACACTTACCGCCTGGAACAGGTATCCAGGCTGACATGAGAGAGAAAGCATAGAAGAACAGCGGTATAAGTATGCAGTCGATGAGCATGATTGAAGAAACCATCTCCTTACTCACAATCAGTAAACCATACTACAGTCTCATCTTTCCCTCTACTATTTCCATTATCTCCTTGCTTCATAATACTTCAAGCTTTCACGTCTTAATCAGTAAACATGTTCACCATCACCAACATCGTCGTCGCTGCTCTTGCTCTCGGAACCGTCCAAGCCCTTCCCCAAGCCAAGGCCTCCCATTCAGTTTCTGACGCATATGCCACTACCACTTCCAGTGCTCCACCCGCTGAAACGTCCTCGAACGACCAAGCCCAGCTTTTCAGGGATCTCTTTACAGCGCCTACAGCAATCAAGCGTTTCCAAAGGCTTCTCACAAATGGAGGACAAACCCTGTTCACAGGTGATGCGTTGAGGAAGATGGTTGTCTTTCCATTCGAAAGTGGCGCTCCGTCAGCCAACAGCCCGAAAAATGGAGCTCTTGTTGCAGCCGTAAGTCAGCGCAAACTGCAAAGCTCCCAACTTCGACTAATGTACTTTCCAGAACATTGAGAGCTTTCCCATCCTCACCGATCTTGGTATCAGCACTACTGTTGGATTCCTCAGTCCCTGCAGCATCAACACACCTCACGTCCACCCCCGCGCCACTGAGTTCCTCACGCTAGTAGAAGGCAGCAATCTCGAATTCGGCTACGTTCTAGAAAACAACCTCGTCCAGCCCAACCAGAACCCCGAAATTTCCGGCTACCTAAACAAATTCCAGGGCACCGTCTTTCCCCAAGGTTCAATCCACTTTCAGTTCAACAACAACTGCGAAAATGCTGTTTTCGTCGCTACATTGAACTCCGAGGACCCAGGTACTAGCCAGGTCGCACAGAACTTCTTTGCTCTCAACAAGGATGTCGTCAACGCTACTCTCGGCTTTCCCAGCTCCATTAATGGTCTCAACATTGAGGAGTTCCGCAAGTACATCCCCGCCAACTTGGCTAGCGGTATGGACGCTTGCATGTCCAAGTGCAAGTCCAAGGACTCGCAGTACTAATCTGATGACAACATCATTGGGCGGAGATAAGTGATGGTATGAAGACATGGCATATTCGGTTCGGGACATAGCGACGGCGTTTCTTACATTCTCTGTGTGCTTGGTTCACTTTGATTACTGATTTGGTTCTTTGAACACTTTCGTTAGACTTTCTTGCTTCTGGTTTATACATTCGTTAGATGCGACAGAAAACACTGCTTTTTCGTCATTATTGTGTGCTATCTCACATCGTCTCACTCTCCACTACTATCAGTGATCATAGAGGACCGCACGATTACCTCCAGTGCATGTCTCCTCAGTTATGCCTACGCAAGTTACCTCCTGCACATCGTTGCCATGATGATGAAGGGACATGTCCCAGAGATGCATTTGGGAAGATGTAAGAGATGAACGCCCTGGTGGAGATAAAGTACCCAGTACATACAATTCATTATGCATGTACTTGATCAGAGCATTGGGCTGAATTGATGTGCAGGTAGAAGGAGGGTGTCACTAGCCACAAGGTGTGGCGCGGCAGGCACTGGACCCTGGCAATTGTTTTTGGTGACTGTTCCGGCCCCGCATTCGACACATTCAACTCGCGCGCCACATAAAAGGCTCGCAATCCCACTGGGCTTGAAACGGATATAACTCGCTATCCCTGCTTTTTCCCTTCATTTTGCGACTTCAGTTTACACCTGGTGTGTCTTTTGCGGCCAATTGATATTACATCTGGCCCTCTGTACCCCACCATGGCCGACACAACAGCGGACCCCGTCGCAATCCAGGAGGAAATCGCCGCGATTGAGAAGAGAGTTGAAGAGGCACAAACACAGCTCAAGGACGCGAAAGCAAGATTACGAAAAGCCCAAGATGCATCATTCGTCCAACCTGGCGCGAACATGTCGGCAGAGGAGAAGATGGCCCTGATCAAGGTCAACCTCGCCGAGGTCTTGAACCCAGAAATCATGGACGAGGCATTAAAAAAAAAGGGTCATTTGAAAGTCTACTGGGGAACTGCTACGACAGGACGGCCACACTGCGGTTACGTATGTAACTACAATTGGGATACACTCGCGTGCACCACTAATCGTGCTCTCATAGTTCGTACCTATTCTCAAGCTCGCACAGTTCCTCGCCGCAGGATGTCACGTCAAGATTCTGCTCGCTGATATTCACGGCTTTCTCGACAACCTGAAAGCGCCGATTGAGCTCGTCAAGTTCCGCGCCGAATACTACCGATTCACCATTACCGCACTCCTCAAGGCTGTCAAGGTTCCCATTGACAAGCTGGAGTTTGTGCTGGGTTCAAGCTACGAATTAAACGCCGACTACACCATGGATTTGCTGAGGTTGGCAAGTATAACAAGTGAGGCTGCCGCGAAGAAGGCAGGCGCGGAAGTCGTCAAGCAGACGGAGAACGCGCCTTTGAGTGGACTAATCTACCCGCTCATGCAAGCCCTCGACGAGCAGTACCTCGATGTAGACGTACAATTCGGTGGCGTGGATCAGCGCAAGATCTTCGCGCTCGCAAAGGATGTCCTACCTAAGATCGGCTACAAGGAGCGAGCACACTTGATGAACCCCATGGTTCCCGGTCTGCAAGGTGGAAAGATGAGCGCTTCCGACCCTGACTCCAAGATCGACGTACTAGACGATGCAGATATAGTCAAGCGCAAACTCAAGAAGGCCCAGGCAGCGCCCAAAGTCGTGGAAGAAAACGGTGTACTCAGCTTCGTCGAATACGTCCTCCTCCCCGCCGGCCATCTTATCCACGGCGAACCCAAATTCGTCGTCAAGCGCCGCGACGCCGAACCCCTCACCTACACCGACATCAAACAGATGCAAGAAGACTACCGAAACGACATCCTCACACCACAAGACCTCAAGCCCGCCGTCACAGAAGCACTCATTACCCTACTCGACCCCGTACAAAAGGAGTTCCAGGCGAACCCGGAGTGGAAGGAGATTGAGCAAAAGGCTTACCCCCCACCACCAGTTGTCAAGAAACAGAAGAAGGTCAAGGACAAGGGCACCTTCCACCCAAAGCGGAATGTAGAGGCGAAGCCTGATGGGCATGTAGAGGGCGAGGATAAAGCCATGGTGGATGTGGGGACAGAGGGCGGTGAGAAGGCGATTGAGAACTTGAGTTTGGAAGAGAAGAAGTAGATGAGTCGCATTGGTCAGAGATAGACCATGTTTCGCCTGAAGTAGACGAATTGTAGCAAGAAGATCATGTCTTGAAGCATTTCATGCATGGATGTTTTAAACAAACATGAATAAGAAACTGCCATTAAGTCATCGCTGACAGAGCCACCAGACAAGCACGTGCCATATTATTTCCAGTTGCTAACCCACTTATATGTTAATGCATATGCCAGGATCCCCGTCATTCACTCTCGCCTTAGAATAACGTCACTCTCGAAACACAGGTATCATCACAGGCACACAGTGAACAACAACACAACGATTGCTAATCAACAAGTTTTGATTACCAGCTAAAGATATCGTCGTAGACTAAAAATGCTTCACATGAAGCATGTACGTGAAAAACATAAACATGAAGAGGTATCGCGCGTGCCCAAGGAAATCCCTGCTTACGATTATCAACGCCAAGTAAAAAAAGTCCAACGCTGTTCCAGTTTGATCGAGTCCAGCCATGAGGATACTCGTTTCGAAGTCGTCGTCGTCGTTTGGCAACGAGTCTTTCTGGAGGACGACCTAGACCTTGGCTGGGGGTGGGCCAGGTGGTGGTGCATACTCTGGTTGGCCACCGTATGTCGGCTGCGGTTGCTGAAGCTCAACGCCATTCTGCTGACCGTAGTAGCCCTGATTTGCGCCACCGCCGTAGTAGTTGTTGTTCGGGGTAGCCGAGTAAGGCGGGGCGGGCTGGTGGTTGGGGTTGTAGTAAGGTTGAGCGTTCTGGTGGTTGTTGTAGGCGCCGGGGCGCGCAGCCCAGCCTGTGCCGTAGAAAGGCTGGCGGCCGGCCTTGCGACGACGACGAGCGGTCAGGCAGCTGTTGGTGAAGGTTAGACGATGCATCGCGAACGGATGCGCAGAGGTGACTTACGAGCAAAGAACGAAGAGGAGCAAGAAGCCGACTACGACAATGACGAGAACAACCCATCGAGCCCAGTTGTTCCATGTGGAGTTACGGCAGCGTTCATAGCCATTTCTGTCAATGTAGCACCTAGCCATAGTGTGTTAGAATCGTGGGTGATGGTTGATAATTGTGGGAAAGTTGAATCAAAGAGGAAAGCGCTAAGACAAGTTGTTTGGTGAAGGAACAGTGCGACCAAATACAAAAGCAGCGTATCGAAAGATGCCGATTGATGCGCAGCCCCAGTGACGTTGTGACGTCGACTGTCGCAAACAACCGGGCTACCAACACCGCCACGCGCAGAAACAGAACAATGAAACTGCAACCCACAACATACATACCTGTCATCGTCATAATAATCGCCGTAGTACTGTCTAGCCTGCAGATGCATTTTGTTGAACACCAATTACTGATGCAAGTGGGTGACCAAATCGATGAATTCGCGAGTGAGAAGGCGAGCTGAGAGGGAAGAGGATCGATGTGGGACACGCGGAGAACTGTTATGACGAGATAGGCTTGAGAGGGGAAGGATGTGTTGCGAGCTGAGCCACAGCCAAGAAATGCAGGGCTTGGACGGATAAAGCGGAGTGCAGGAATGATGGCGACCGGTGGCTTCCTTATATCCTGGGCTGAGAGGAGAGACGCGAAACTTCTAGGTTCACTGCGGATGCGCTGGGGAGGCGCAGCCACGATGGCCAACGCGGTACCTGTACCGGTACCGAGAGTGTTTGCGCTGGTCTACATGGGGTATGCGCGGATGAGAGAATTTCGCCGCTTCATGAGTAAGCGACGTGATCAGGTCAATCAGAAGGAATGCTCGGCGTCATCATTGAGGAAGCCGGTCCGGTGCCTTGTGCTGCGCCCATCGCACTCGTCAACCACCCGAGTGTCATAAGATACTTGATATACTCGTGTAAAAAGGCCACTATAGTTGCTAAACATGCCTATTAGCATTATAGGGAAGCATCTAATAGGCGTGTTTGGCGACTACAGTGGCCTTGATAGACGTAGTATGTTAAGTATTTCATGAAACCCAGGTGATCCTCAGCCTCTGGGTCATGAGATCTACACAAGACATTTGGTTCAGGATACGTAGGCAATATTATCGATAGAGGACCGTCGAGTGAGTTGTTGTTCTAGAGCAGTGGTGGATATGAACGGCCAGCATGTGATTGTAGACATGTTACGACGATGGGTTGAGGTACTTACTCATGCGAGAGATGCTCTACTACGGTCGAAACCTCCACTCAAGCCACATAGCTAGACTGGTGCGCCACAAGTTCCCCTCTCCCCGGCCACGACCACCGCAATCGTGAATTCCTCGCCTTGCCGCTTGACCCCTCCAGCTCTTCCTGCATCGGCTGCCCTTCCAGCATCCTTCGACGAACAGGGGGGTGGATCGCGAAGCACACATATGGCCAATCAACACGCTCGTGTTCATGATTCCCTGGGAGACGCTAATGCAGGATGAGTTGTTCAATTGTTGATGGCATGGATTTGCTTGGGTCCCACCACTGCTGCCAGCGGATTGCAAAATGTTAGTTATTTGTCCTCGTCGCTTTTCTTTTGTGTGCATTGATCGTTCCTCCCCTTTCTCTCCGCTCGAAACGCCGTCATTTCCGTGGCCGAATCTGGCGCATGCTGCTGCTGCCGCGCCGCCATCTCAATCCGCACTGGCATCTGTGCGACACGGGATTTCTACACCAGAACGCGACGAGGACTCGGTTTTGGCACACAACCCGCAACCACGGCAGCGCCTGCGCGCAATTGCACTCGAGCCCGTCAGCAGCGGTCAAGCGACGACTGACTAGAAGGCGCACCTGCACATGAGGCGCTTCAACGTCACGAGGACCAAACCCGCACTAGTCAACAAGACAAGACAAACATAAATATGGCATTGTGTCGCTGCGAACCTCAGGTTACTCCCAATGGAGCCAGACAAGAGACCAAGCATGCGCAACCAAACATATCAATTCATTCCTGGACCCGCCCTTTCTCGTCTTTTCTTAACTGCTACATCTTGGCTGGAATATGAAACAAAGAGGATGATACATGATAGGGACATGGGCCCTCGCCGTAATAAAGATATGAAAGGGAGTAAACGTGTCGAGCTGGGGAACTGGAATGGCCATCGCTAGCCTGCAGAGCGATCTGCCCGTCTTTTCTTCCATCAAGTCGTAAGAATCATTAAAGATGTCGTAGAAGGCTGACGACCGTTATTCGTGAGAACGTAGGCACATCGGCGTCGTGAATTTGCGGAAAACACCAAATCGAGGTCGCGCGCGACACGTGGTCGACGAGAGCTCGCCAGTCACGTTATCGACGGATCGAAATACGAACACCACAACATCTTACTTGCTGGCACGGGCAATCAACCACTGGAGAACAGCGTCGAGGTTGGTCTCTTCCTTTGCGCTGATGCCGTAGCAGCTCACCTCTCGGTGGGACACCGACTTCAGGTCCAGGGCCTCGATCAGCTCGTCGACGGAAAGCTTGTTGGGCAAGTCTGACTTGTTGCCCAGCACGAGAAGAGGGATGCCTTCCAAGGCAGGTTTCTCCAAGAGCAGCTTCAGCTCCTCGCCAGCGACTGGCAAGGCCTCCTTGTCGGCCGAGTCGACGATGAACCTATTGCAATGAGCGACGGGCAGCCAGGACGTGCAAGCGAAACCTACACAATGGCATTTACACCACGGCAGTACCGCTCCCACATGGAACGAAACCTAGGCTGGCCCCCGAGATCCCAACTGTTGCCGCTGGTCAGCAGATGCGCCTTGGGCCTAGTAGATGACGCTGCACCCCGCAAGGCGGGCTCCAAACGGCTTGGCGCTGCAAGAGGCGGACATGCGTGACCAGGGAGAACATCAAAAGTACTCACCACTTCAAGGTTACATGACCTTTCTGGACGCGCTTCATATTGAAGCCCACGGTGGGGATGGAGCTAGGACCAATGTCAGCGCATGGACCCCGCTATCATGGTCTCATGGTTGCGCGAAGCAGTAGCATCGGGACACGGATGAAACAACGTCGCCGTTGGCTTGCGCAACTCGGCACCGACGTAGACTTACTCGACCGTGAACTCTCCTCCCTAGGTGGCAATCCGTCAGCTTGTTTTGATCCGGATCAAGCATGTCGACACAGGACGGTCTTTCCGCATCGAGAAGGGACTCACCGCCAGAACTCGGAGGAGTGAAGTCTTGCCAGCATTCTGCAAACCGATCATGGTGATGTCCATCTCGGTCGCCCTGTAGAGTGAGAGCAGTCAGCATCCATCTCTGGTCATCGTAGTCGTCGTCGCCGCCGTCGCCCGTGACTTTGCTTTTTCGGTGACGAAAACAGGATACAAGAGAGGTATCAAGTAGCGCAGCAGGCATCAGGTCATGCGCATTTGACAAAGGAATAGGTAGACAGGTAGGCGTACCAGAACAGGCGGAGCAGCCAGTCGTAGATGCGGCGGAAGAGATTCGCCATGGCCGTGGTCGCAGTAGATGCTGACTCGGTGCTGGTGTTGTCTGGTCGTGAGGGCTGGCGATGGATGAGCGATGGAGGGAAGTCTGGGAACCTTGATCCTTGCTGCGGGGCATGTAATAGGCGTGATCGCCGTAGGCTTGGTAGCAACAACAGCAAAATGACAACGCTCAACAGTAAAAGCAGATGCAAAAGGTGCTGGCAATGCCGTGAGGAAGTAAAGAAGCAGAGCTGTGCCGCCCTAACGAAAGCCAGGAGTGGTTCACGCTGCAGCACAGTGATGGAGCCGCGGCGGCGTGTGACTTTGGCCAGGGCGCTAGACAGGGGTGGGCTATCGGCCTAGGTCTAACGAAAAAGTTCGAGATTGGCTTTGATCGCAACTCTACAATCGCGCCGCCGCCTGCCCACCGTGAAACCTCGCACGCTGCACTTTTATATTGCGCGTACCCGTGTGCGCTGCGCCTTCCGTTTCCGAATTGCACCTCAAGTCGCAAACGGCAACCATGGCGCCTTCCACAGTAGCAACTCAGCCACGGCCGCAGTGGTCGACCAAAGTAGGCTCCTTCTGCATCTTGCTCTTGCAACCTCTAATATCCGCTCCAGTTTGATACCCTGCGCCGGCATGAGCTTTTCCGAAACCCACCCAGAGACGAGACCGCCTTTCCCATGCTAGCTGAAGCCGTCGCGCCCCATACCGAATCCTTCAACGCCATCTTCTGTGCCGGCGGCCAGCTGAGCGAGGGTATCAAGGATATTGGCACCAAGATCTTTCTCGACGGCAACCCATACGCAGCACCCGAAGAGGCAGGCGCACGCAACCGACTCTCTCTGCGTATACAGGATGTTTTCCTCGACAAGCCAGCCCTGCCATCCACCAACAAGGTCGCTCTCAAGAACCGCAACATCCTACCCTCAGAGGCACGAGAACGACATGCTACCTACCGCGGCAAGATGCGCGCGCGACTCCAGTGGAGGATCAACCAGGGCGACTGGCAGGAAGAAATGGCTGACTTGGGATCCGTACCAATTGTTAGTTGGTTCTAGTACCAGTGGTGGCCTGCATAACTAACTCTCCGCAGATGTTGAGATCCAACCGATGCCATCTTGAAGGCTTATCCCCCGCCGCACTGGTCAAGTCAAAGGAGGAAAGTGAAGAGGTATGCCACTTATGAACTTATAGATGACGAGAGACTAACTTCAACAAGTGTGGAGGATACTTTATCGTCAACGGAAACGAAAAAATGATCCGCCCTTTGCAGGTAAACCGCCGCAATTACCCAATGGCTATCAAGCGCGGTGCCTTCACAAACCGCGGTCCCGGTTACACTCAATACGGTATACAAATCAGATCGATGCGACCCGACCAAACATCGCAAACGAACGCTTTACACTACCTTGATGATGGCAACGTAAACTTCCGCTTCTCGTGGCGCAAGTCAGAGTACCTAGTCCCCCTGGTCATGATCATGAAAGCCCTTGTCGAGACCAACGATCGGGAGATTTTCGAGGGCCTTGTGGGCGCAGCTGGCTCAAAAGGTCTTCGAGAGAAGCAATTCGTCTCAGATCGTGTCGAACTATTGCTACGTACCTTCAAAGTCTATGGTCTACACACAAAGGCAAAGACTCGAGCTTTCTTGGGCCAAAAGTTCAAAGTTGTCCTCCAGCTACCTCCAGATATTAGCGACTTTGACGGTGGTACGGAATTTCTTCGGAAAATTGTACTGCCTCATCTTGGTTGCGTAGCGGTTACCCCCGCCCAGGATGCCGACAAGTTTCGAATGCTCCTCTTCATGACCAGGAAGCTCTACTCTTTGGTCGAAGGAGAGTGCACTGTCGACAACCCGGATGCTGTCCAGAGCCAGGAGATTCTACTAGGCGGACAATTGTACGGCATGATCTTAAAGGAGAGACTAGAGGAATGGCTCAACAGCTTCCAGTTGGCTCTGCGTGAATGGGGCCGGAAAACAGAGTACAAGCCCATTGTCTCGGACGACTTTAGACGGGACTGGACCTCAAAAATACTCCGTCGAACAAAGAACAACATTGGCGATGCAATGTCTTACTTTCTAAGGTGAGCCATTTACACTACTGACTACTGACTATTCGCTGACAGGATAGTACTGGCAATCTAGTGTCGCCTAGTGGCCTGGACATGCAACAAACAAGCGGATATACCGTGGTCGCTGGTATGTGTTCGAATGCTTCTTTCGCCACCACCATGTCCTCGCTTGACTTGTACTGACTTTTATAGAACGCATTAACTTCTATAGGTTTATTTCCCACTTCCGTATGGTACACAGAGGTGCCTTCTTTGCTCAGCTCAAGACAACCACGGTCAGAAAACTTTTACCCGAGTCTTGGGGGTTCAGTATGTTATTTCCTTCCCCGGAACCACCATTATACTAACGTCCCTCACGTTTGCCCCGTTCACAGCCCCGATGGGTCACCCTGTGGGCTGCTGAATCACTTTGCTCATAAATGCAAGATTGCTACATCAAATGTTGATGTTTCGGCGATTCCCAAGCTTGTTGCGAAATTGGGCGTCTCACGTGACTCCTCCGCCTCTCTTGATGAAAGCGTAGTCGTACAGCTGGACGGCAGAGTCCTGGGCTTCTGCTCGCCTAAGCAAGCCAAGGTCGTCAGCGATACGCTCCGCTACTGGAAAGTAGAAGGCTCGCACGGTGTACCCCTGGAACTGGAGATTGGTTATGTTCCCAACTCAAACAACGGACAATACCCAGGTGTCTACATGTTCTCGCAAAGCGCAAGGATGTATCGACCTGTCAAGTACCTACCTCTCAACAAGCTGGACTACGTAGGTCCGTTTGAGCAGCCCTACATGTCCATATCGTGCACAGATGCCGAGATCGTATCTGGCGACTCAACACATGTTGAATTTGACCCAACGAATATCTTGTCGATTGTGAGCAATCAGACGCCCTTCTCGGACTACAACCAATCCCCCAGAAACTTATACCGTTCGTTATACCCTTCCCTGCGCGTTATATAATATACTGACTGCTAGCAGAGTTGAGTTGCATAGAAAACTGAAATCTAGGTACAGACTAACAGCATATAGGTGTCAAATGGGTAAGCAGTCGATGGGTACGCCCGCCACTTCTTTGGACTACCGGACAGATAACAAAGCCTACCGGTTACAAACTGGTCAGACCCCGATTGCCCGTCCTCCCCTGCATAACAAATATGGTTTGGACAACTTCCCAAATGGCATGAATGCTGTTGTAGCTGTCATATCCTACACAGGATACGACATGGACGACGGGTTTGTGTTGTCTCGCGGGGCCCACGAAAGGGGCTTCGGCCATGGAACAGTCTACAAAACCAAGATCCTCGATTTAGAGGAAGGAAGCCGAAAAAACCGGTCGAAACGGACGGTGACCAAACTTTTTGGGTTCGCCCCTGACAGTCTAGTGGAATCTAAGCCCAAAGAAACTCTCGACGCAGATGGTTTGCCTCGTGTTGGAACGATGTTACGGTCTGGTGATGTTATCGCAGCCTGGCACACCGTTTCGTACGACACAGCCATGGATGACTACACCAACAAAGATGGACAGACGCAGTTCTTCAAGTACAAAGAGGACGAAGTTGCTTATGTTGAACAAGTCCGCATCATCGGCTCCGAGGATGGAACACAGCCCTGCCAGAAGCTATCTATCAAGCTCAGGATCCCACGTTCTCCCATTGTTGGCGACAAGTTTTCGTCTCGACACGGCCAAAAAGGAGTCGTTTCGCAGAAGTTTTCTGTGGCCGATATGCCTTTCTCAGAGACTGGTATCCAACCCGACGTTATAATCAACCCCCACGCTTTTCCCTCACGAATGACGATTGGCATGTTCATCGAGTCGCTAGCCGGAAAGTCTGGAGCACTCCACGGCATGGCTCAAGACGCGACGCCCTTCCAATTCGATGAGCAGAACACGGCAGTGGATCACTTTGGTCAACAGCTCATGAAAGCCGGTTATAATTATTACGGAAATGAACCCATGTATTCGGGGTTTACTGGCGAGGAATTGCACGCAGATATCTACATTGGCGTAGTCTACTACCAACGTTTAAGGCACATGATCAACGACAAGTTCCAAGTCCGTACTACTGGACCGGTCAACCCTACTACAGGCCAACCGGTCAAGGGACGTAAGAAGGGTGGTGGTATACGAGTTGGTGAAATGGAGCGCGATGCGTTGATTGCGCACGGCACAGCTTTCCTCCTCCAAGACCGCATGATGAATTGCTCCGATTACACAAAAGCTGCCATCTGCCGCAGCTGCGGCTCATTCCTTAGCACGACACCGACGGTCAGCGAGTATAGCCGTAAGAAGGACAAGGGTGGCAAGGACATCACGATTCGCTGCAGGAGGTGTGCCAAGCTGGCTGATGCGGTGACCAGCAAGGCCGACGTATGGATGGACGCACAGGGGATGCGGTATGTAGGGGGTGATGATGTCGCGGTTGTCGCGGTACCTGGTGTGCTCAAGGTATGTTTCCCATTCTCCAACTTGCATGTGAGACAATTACTAACTTACTACTGCAGTACTTGGACGTAGAGCTGAGTTCGATGGGCATCAGGATGAAGTTCAACGTGAGCCCGTAGAATGGTTTCTATATACTCCTTCGTGGAGTGCATGACATGATTGAGTCATGGAGTTTACAATGGTAACGTTTGCGCATCGGTTCGGCGTTCATGTGTGGTGAAAAATTTGTAGTTTTAGCAAGCATTGACTGGCGTATGGGGCGTGGATGCAGCCCAAAATCAAGATCTTGTATGCCCACATCACCTCTTTGTTACGACTCTTTGTGTACGTGGCCAGCACTTTTTGCCCTTTTGGCAAATTTCTAGCGGCTTGTTGTGTGACGTTGACACTGTCTTGCGTGTACTCTGCCGGGTTTGTTAGTTGGCTTTTGATAGCACTCACACTCGTTTGTAGAGCGATAAGGCGGACCTGGTATATTCTATGCATACGTCAAAGATGGGTGTTGCCTTGGCACCTTGCAACTGTCGCGCATCTAGCATCTTCTCGCATATCAGTCATCTAGTATGTCCCGTTCACAATCCTCATATCTACGTGAAAATTGACCTTATGCATTCGCTATTATCCATGTATGCGTCAACCTATGTCACCATCGCCTTACGAACTCATCTTTCTCCCCCGTTGTTACGTCTTTCGGGAATTATGGGGCCTTGATTGAGGTTTTCTTTCAAAATCAGGTCACCGGCTAGTTAAACCTAGAGTTCTCTTTTAAGAAATTGTCCAGTCAGGTAGCAAGGGCAAAATTGAAGAGCTGGGTATGTGAAATTTCCCAAACGGGCTGGACTTAGTCATTCCATACGCTGCACATTGTGTCTCTGCGGTCCAAATCTGACCCCAGAGGAAGTGATATGTTGTCTCATGTTTCCAATCAGATAAACAGAACCTTCACATTCACGTGCATAGTTATTGTCCGACTTTTGCCATGACCCATGAATTCATTGACTAGACTCATCTGCCTAGCATATTTTCTCCTCCGACCACACTTTCTCGAACCCTCTTTCCCCAGACCATCCTGCATGTAGACTCATCCGCCCCGCTCCCTGACCTCCTTCTCTTTGTCGTCTGCCTGGACAAACATCGGCATGCCTAGCCAAGCACGGAAGAAGATGTCGAGCACAAGCCTGGCTATCTCTGTGTCGGAACCCGCCGTATGTGCTGTATGAACCAAGTGCTGCAAATTTTCATAGAAAATTTGGAAGAGATTTGTCAACTTGCAATGCAATTTTGGTTGATCAGGCGTAGATCCGTCAAGTTTCAAAACTTTTCTGACCCATCGCCACCACATCAGAGACCTGCATTCGTCTTTGAGGCCGAAGGCTGCCGAACAACCCTTAGGTACGCCTCTGTATCGATCGGGAAGAAAGTTTAAAAGCTCACCCTTGCCAACCGACTCAAAGCCAGCGAGGATGCCCAAGCCGTCTATGTCATTCGATGAATGTTCGTGAAAGTCAAACATTTCTTTAGGACCTTTGAGCTTCTCAACGTACTTCTCGAAATCTGCGACAACATCATTCCATGTGCCGCATTTCCCATGGATTCCGATAGCTGAGCTGTCTGGTGGGCCATAGAACTTAGCGAAATGATTGAAGACATTGAATGACTTGTTGTTGGCAGCCCTTTGGTTCAGCTCATAGAACAGAGTGGATTTTGAAATCCCTTCATGCGTTATGGTTGTCGGTTCGATAATGAATTCACCTAAGGCATTCTTCATGCATACCTGATACGTTTAGGTCGACCCCCATGGTTTAGAGATATCTCCACACTCTATGTCTGCGATTGCGACCCTTTCAGAATGGTGAATCCAGTTATAGGCCAGCTTATCGATGACCGGATGTTCACCTTGGAGACACGTTTCCCGCAGTCGGTTTGGGAGCTTCTCACTAAAGACGTTTCGTAATGTTGATCTTTCAGGTGGGTAGTTCTCAGACATTCCAAAGCCGAAATCCTTGTTCGCACCCCCATGAACTGAACTAGGAGCATATGGTTTGCCTTCCCAAGGGCGGCTTGTACAGCGAGTTGCGTTCAAGGTAGGTAACCAGGCGCACATTCCCTGACCCTCCAGTTCAGCTCTCGCGCGGTTAAGAGCTTCTTGGCATGGAAAATTGTGGTCTTCAATATCAGTTAAGAGGAATCTGCGGTTGCATGTTCGGCATTTGCAATACTCGCAACTTTCACTGTGCTCTAATATGTCTTCGAGTGGGAAACTGTAATTGCAACCGTGGCAAATTCTCTTGTGGCAATTTCTGCCGTGACTCATCTCAAACTCAGCTGAACTAAGGTTGGACTTATGGCATTCAGGGCATGATGCCTGTCGCAGCGATGACCGTGTCTCAAGTCGTAATCCTCTGGGCTGATGTTATGTTCATCGCATCTGTTGCAATACTTCTTGTCGCACACCTCCAAATGCTTTTCGAAATCCAGAGTTCCCTTGCCGCACTTGTAACATGGAACACGTCGAGCCTTCAAGACAATGCGAGATTCTTCTGGTGCCGAAATTACATCGTAGCATTGCGTGTCACCATGGTGATAGTCTGTGTGAATTTTCAGGTAGAGAAAGTGACAACGCGGGCAACGTTCATGCTGTTCCAAACCGTCTGAGTGGTATTTGTCGAAAATCTCTTCCTCAAATTCTTTATTGCAGTGGTCGCAACGAATCACCTTCTTAGTCTCTGCTCCGAGGCCATGCTTCCATCGGTAGCCCCTATCCAGCCCGGTTTGACACATTTTGTCTTTACCTTTCCAATGTTCTGGGGGCTTTAGAGTATGACAATAGATGCACATCCTTGCGAGACAGTTTTCGGGTTCGGTCAAATCGAACTTGATGGTACTGTCTTCCTCTAACACCTCCACAAAATTTGTCCATTTCAGGTATTTGCATTTCGCTTGCCCCCCACTCGTGAAAGAGATATGGTAGCATAACTGGAACTTCTTGCCTCCATGCCAGAAAGTAGGCTTTGAATGACAAGTCTGGCAGTAAATACAGAAATCATCTGGACCGTATAGACCTGCCTTGTTGTGGTGGAAATCTGAGAATTGCTCTTTGGTCTCAACGACCATTTCATCGCTAGGAAATCTCTTGGATTCGTGGAGGTACTTGGCGTAGCTTGCAGCATCATGCTCTTTGGGTTGAGTTACATCTTTCTCCCCAGGAAGATGCCAGTGAGCAATGACTCTGGTATCATTAGGAGTCTTAGGATGACCTGGAGGTTTCGTCTCTTCGAGATAGCTCATACAGTCGAAGTAATAGCTTATTTTTGCGTAATCATCAGCCTTGGCTGGATGGCCAGGTCGCAGGCACCGAGCCTTCGTGTAGCACATTACGCGATGTTGATGGACATCAGCAGAGTCGGTGACCTCAAGGTCTTCGACGTAAGGATCCAAGAGTCTCATCGCTTCATCAAGATCTTGTTGGTATGAAGCACAGATTTTCACATGATCTTCGCACAAGAGAACGCAAAGTCTCAGTGTACAGTTAAGGCGTTCAGCCGCTCGAAAGGCTCCTGGTGTACTTGCGCAGAAATTTTTGATCTTGGATCCGCTAAACACTTCTTTGGAGCGGGCAGAATAACTTAAAGGTTCTCCAACAGTAACAGCGTCGACACCGGAATCCATGATAGGAGGTTCAAAGGTGGGAACAACCTCACCCGTCTTAGAAAAACTTTTGTACTTAGGCTTCTCAACCGTAGTCTTTAATTGTTTGGTGAGCGGTTTCTCCGTATCTTCATCGGAGTATGTAGCTTGATGTATTTGGTGATTTGATGGCTCAGGATTGCTTGTCTTCGCCGCCGTCCTTACTCGTTTTCTGGGCAGGGTTTCTGCATGCCTATCAGAGAGCTGAAGAATCCCATTTTGGGAATTTAATCTCTGCTGTCTCGTGCGAGACGTCACTTGTTTGGACTTGCTTTGCGTAACCACCGTAAAATGCCTCAAACTCTCCACCACGGGCATTTGCAGACCGGATTCGGTAGCGTGATGTTCTACGAACTGGTCTTCTTCCAAAAGTATTGCGTTCTCGATCTCTTTGGCCTTTGGGACGTCATGGTAGTTTTAAAGTGTAAAGTAGTGCGTGTTGTAGTGGTGTGAAGTTGATTTGCTCGATGACCGAATGTAAAGATGACATATGAGGGGAAATTCCAAGGCCCATTATAACCGCTATAGGGCAAAAATTCACGGCTGATCAAGACAATGCAAAGACAACAGTCTAGGACATTCATAATATTTCTCGCATTAGAGGGGCTAGACAAGAAGATGAAAGACGGTTCGACACACTACTACACGTTCGTAGCGGCCTGATAAGCTATACGCAATGAACAACCGTGAACGTGAATGCCCATCAACCCGACAAAAAGTGCGACGAGACATGCACGAGACCCCCTTCACGGCAATATAGCTCGAGTAGGTAGAAGACAGTATGAAACTATGACTGTCTTCTACCGTCTCTCCACTGAAACAGAACAATAAGACATTGATCCATTAAGGCAGAGCCTCTACCCTCCAAGTGAGTATGTCTCCTACAGGCCGCAACGCTAGTTGCTGTCAGGCTAATATCTGTATACAGTAGACTAAAACCTACACGGACATGACTCTACGGCGTAGAACAATGTAA